CTCCGGAGGGAAAAGAATCAAAAAATTTACTTTTTTTTTCCCCAAGCAGCCTAGTTTTTTTTTATGTCGTTTCCATGCTCCTGGAAAAGACTGCAGACGTAAATGTTCGAAATGGAAATAATGCAACTGCTCTCCACTTGGCTGCCAAGGAAGGTAATCTTAACATCACTTCCATGCTCCTAGAAGATGATGCCGACATTGACGCCCAGGACGAACAGGGGAAGACGGCACTGCATTTAGCTGCTGAGAACAGGGCTACCGACGTCGCGATGCTGCTACTGGGGAAGGGCGCCGATGTTCTTGCGAAAGATAATAGAGAGAAAACGGCCTTACATTTAGCCTCTGAGAGCAATGCGCGAGATCTCGTCTCCCAGCTCCTTCGAAAGAACTGCAACCCCAACGCGAAGGATGAAAAGGGAAGGACGGCTTTGCACTACGCCGTTCTGTCAGGCGCTGTCAACATTGCCTTAATTCTTCTGGAAAACAACGCCTACGTTGACGCGAAAGATGAGAAAAGAACGACGCCGTTGCTCTTAGCCACAGAGATGGGCGCCATTGAAGTTGTTCGAATGCTCCTGGCAAAGAAGGCGGACGTCGACGCAAAAGACAAGAAGAAAAGGACGGCACTGCACTTGGCTTCCGCTAGAGATGATGTCGACATCGTATCTCTGCTGGTTGCTAACGATGCTGATGTCAATGCTAGGGATGAAAACGGACGAACTGCTCTTCATTACGCCAGACCTTCATTTGCATTGCGCTGTTGTCACAGAATTCTTCTGGAAGCAGGTGCACTGCTAGATATTAAAGATAACGATGGAAATACACCTGAGGACCTAGCGGAAATGAACAGTTATCATTGTGGAATTCAAGCACTTTTGTTCTTTTCAGGCGTCGATGGAATGACTTTTTTTTAAAAAAAAATGTTTGAAGAGATCATAAAAACTTATGGAAAGCATACTGTTTTTGAGAAATAAATTATCAATGTTTCTTCACATCTGTATCCCTGCAGAAATGGAAGGTTTTATCAATGAACAATATGATTGTGGAAAACTTGGAGACTTCTAATGCCTAACAAACATAATCCCAAATGAAATATAAAACGCAGCAGTAATCATGTTAGACATGGTTTTATACTAAAAGAAATGTATCATATCTTTAAATAATTTAAAACGTAATGCTATTGTAATTCATTGTGTATACTGTTTTGCCCACTTTATTTGTGTGATCTTTTAATTTCGTATTTAACCGAATATGTGCATGAGTTTTTTTTTTTTTTTTTTTTTTTTTTTTTTTTTTTTTGGTAAAAATAAAAATTATAAAAAGACAATTTTATATTTACCCCCCCACCACCACCACCATTTATGAGTATTAGTATCTGACAATGTAAATAATTAAAAGGCAGTTTAAAAAATTAAGTAAATTTGACAGAATTTTAGTCCTGAGAGGCCAGCATCAACCATACGTCCAAGGACAGTGCTTGCCAAATCAATGCTTTGTGACGTCAAAAGTCTGCTTTCCTGCGTGAGACGCGGAGCAAAGGCAGCGCGGGACGCGGCGGCGAACGCACAGTGTTCCAATGATGGGACGGAAGTAGGGGGAAAAGGTTCACTCGATAATTAAGTTTTTAAATGGTAATTAAGAATCCAACTGCCTCGAAGATGAAGAAGCGCAGTATTTTCAGTGCTGGCGACGAACTTTGACCTCCAATTACTCCAAAAATTATCATACTTTCGACATATTCAACGTGACCTTATTTGAAAATGTATTTTTAATAAATACATTTCATTTAGAAAAAAATGAATCTTCATAATTGTAGTTGTAGGAAGACAATAAATTTTGAATGTTTTTCAATTTTCGAAAAATCAGAGTTATTGTGAGACTATCACCGCTTTCTTAAACGCCCTTCAGACTATTCACTAACACAATTTTGTCAACTACGGAGTCGTTTTTTGAGAAAATATTGTTTAATAAAAAATTAACTAATAGTGCAACAGAATGGCACAGACCCCCATATTAGTTTTCTATTTCGTTTCGTCTCGGCTAACTACTTGTACTTGCTACATACTCTTGTCAGCTGCCATTCATCGCCAGCCAAAGAACTTTTTTTTTTAATTCTGAATTTTTTGTTTTCCTAATAAACGGTAATATTATTTTAAGAATATTAAAGAGCAGTAAAACCTTGTCATAAATGGCAATTTTCTACCAAAAATTTGGAGATGTTGTCAAGACACAGGAGCTAAAATTTACTGCAAATTCGAAATTTTAAGCACTTCACAGAAAATGTTGAAGTTTTTGAAAAACTTCATTAGAAGTAATTTTAAGCACATTAACTCACAAATACATTAGTGTGTACAAATTGCTGGAAATGTACATACTAACGGTGTGAGAGATCTTTCAAAAAAATTACATTGAGTAATTTCTGTAAAAACATAAGTGGCCCGATACGAACTTTACGTCATATTAAAGAGTGTAATTAGCACTATCCGTTCGAAAAGTTTAAAGAAAAAATTTGGAGCAATTTTTTGAGAAAATGGCGTTTGAACGTTTTTGAATATGCGGAATTTTGAACTAGTTTTCACACAAAACGATTGAGTTTTCGAGAATGTGTGAATTTACGTGACATTATTTAAAGCACATGTACTAAGAATACATTAGTGTGAACAAATTGCCGCTAATATAAATATTAACGGCGTGAAAGACATGTCAAAACAATACATTCATGTAAATTTTGAAGGAAAAAAAAACAATAGAGGAATATCGAGTTAATGCCATCTTATAGAGTGCATTTAGCTTTATCACCACCGAATGTTTAAAGAAACAAATTGAAGCTATTTTTGAGAAAATCTTGTTTTGGTATATTTTTTTTAAATTGCACATATTGCGCGAAAACTAGTAAAATGTTCAAAAATATGTACACGACAATAAAAGAACTAATTATGGACATCGAATTTCATTTCAAGGAAACATTTCAATCTTCAATTTGTAGTTTTAGGAAGACAACGAAAACATTCGTATTTTGAAATTTTCGAAAATTCAGAATTCACCGTAAAAATTGGACTTACGCCACATTCATAAGTGCATTTTACTTTATTCTTAGAAGAAATTTGGAGACATTTTTGAGAAAATTTTCAAAATGTCCCAGGGGCTTCATGTAAAGTACCCCAAAAACTAATGAATTATTTTCAAAATCGCAGAGCATAGTCTCAGGCCAAATGGACATGGGTTTCTTCAATTTGGAAAAAATCCTACGCAGGATGTAGGCGCTACTAGTGTTTATACACACGCGATGAACGTTTTGAAAAAGAACAACACTTTTTCGGTATATGGAGACCCCAAAATGTGTATTTCTCTTTAAATCTCGATATTCTGCAGCATTACATAACTTTCCCTATACTAAAATCTGCCGAACGGTTTAGCCGCTAGTGTTGTTCACAGACGTTTTGCTATCAATCGATTTTTCGGTATTAAGGACCCACAAAATAGGGATTGTGGGTTCACCACGTGTTAAAAGATTTATTTTTATAAATTTAGGATTTATCCACTTCATTTCCAGAGCCCTGTAATAAAGAGTTTTTCTGACGAAAATTTGCCGGTTTTTCCCGCAGCATTTCATAACTTTCTCTACGAAGTTCCTTCTTAAACGCGAGAAAGTAAAAATGGGTTAGGGATTCTGGGGCACAAAATAATTCCAGTTCGTACTTCTCACTTATAGTTTTCAATTTTTTGGCAATTAATCAAATAATGATTTTGATAACTGTTTTCAATTATATTTAATAACAATAGAAAGAAACTGATTGGAATTAAACATTAGCTACTTTGTTGTAAAACTTTTTTACCATCAATATTTAATGTTAAGAGGGATGTCGACCATAAATTATGTAACGCTGAAGAGGGGGACTTCCTGTTACTTTCAATATTAGTTTATTGTTACATAACACTGCTATTTATTTTTTAATGTTTACTGAAATTATTTCTTTCAGTCTTACACTTCAACATTAAAATATTTACTAATTAGTTTTTAAAACATAAATTAAGTTACTAGATGTAAATTGTTACAAAAAATGGAAATATTTCTCAACAAATTTTTATTGAATCTGTAGGATTACAAACAAAATATTGAAAACTGACTTGTAGTACATTCTAAAATCCATTTAAATTAGTGTGTCATCTACAACAGCTTGTGACCAAAAATTTTCTCACCTACACTCACAACTTGCTTCCATCTTATTGTTAGGTGCAGTCAGCATTGCCAACTAATTCGAACTTCAATATTAAAAAACAACACAAAATGAATATATTGTTTTTACTGTGTTGTAACACTGATCTGCATAATTTTTATGCCTGTAATATTTCGTTTGTTTCTTTGTGTTTTTCACACTGATTTCAAATCTGCAATTGGTATTTCCGAATCAGCTCTGAACTTTTCTCTACAGGCCAATATATTTTTGACATTTCTGATCTTCATTAGATGTTAACGCTAATACAAAATATCTTTTTTCAGACATTGTTATAATTACTTGAATACTGTACACGTTAACGATAACTAAATTTCATCAATTAACATGAATAGAAAATTTAAAAATGACCCAAATATGTTTTACTACACATGTGATAAAACGACATTGCCAGGGCAAAGATCAAATATTACAAGTACAGCATATGTAAAGGCCAGCAATTATACTTGATATGCAATTGAGAGATCAGGACCAGACCTTCACTCCACATTGATGGTGTCTAACATGTGTGAAGTAGGCATACACAATGGAACAAGGGAATCATAAAGACAATTATCCTTTGGTATACCTATGGTGTGGAGGGAAAAAGATCATTTAATACATTGTTACTTTTGCATGACAAAATTACGAGGTAATTAATGACGAGAGACTGTTTTATATTTCAGAGGGTATAGAGGTTGCTGGGACATCAATATGATGGGTAACTTGTGTAATACACTTTCTCTTCTTGCATTTACAAATAAGGGGTGCTGTCACAAGTGTTATGGGGGGGGGAGAGAGAATGTTACACGGCAGGTGAGAAGGGGGTATTGAAAATACTCCAAAAACCATGCAGCACGTCATATTTTATGAAAGCAACTATTTTAAAATATTTATAAGAAATAAAATAATTTTTAAAAAAAGAATAAACATTTGACTGAATGACCTTTATTCAATGATTCTCATATATACACTGGCACAAATACAAGAAAGAGGGGCGCAGTGCAGTGTAAGAAGCAAAAACACAAGTTCAAAATCCATTAACAAGACATATTAACCAGGAGGCCACTGCAACTGGCGTCCACCTAGAACGTGCAGGTGAAGATGATAAACTGACTGACAGCCATCAGCGCCATCATTCACTACCAGACGAAATCCTCGAGACAGTCCCTGTTCTTTGGCAACACGACGAGCAACAACCATGAGATGTCCCAACAACTGAAGAGGAAAAAATAAAAATAAGAAATTCACCAAAATTACTGATAAAATACGAAGTCAAAAAAAGTTACTTATTCTACAAGACTTTTGAAGTACAATATATGAATAAGAGACCTTTCCTAAAAAATAACTTTTCAATACATCATCTTATCTTTACATTTAGATATTAATCGTCATATATGTAATCAGTGCAGAAGAAAAGTGGTCTAAAAAAATGTCATTTTGCATTGAAATGGTTTTCTTTTGATTGAAGTAGGTAATCATAAAACAAAAGAAAAAACTGCACACCTGATCATCCGAATCATCAGCCAAAGACAGTTGTGGTATAGGTTTGCGAGGAATCACCAGAAAATGAGTAGGAGCTTGAGGATTGATATCATGGAAGGCCACACACTGAAAAGAAACGTACGTTAAGTTACCAAATAAAGAGCGTCATGACATGAGATGCGAATGGCACATTACAAACTTTATCGTCTTCATATATAAAGTTGCATGGAATTTCTTTTCTCAGTATCTTTCCGAAAATTGTATCGCCGCCCGGTGTGGCGATTTGAGCCTTCTCCACTTCGTCAGCCATTTTTCTGATCACCAAAGAGTTTCATAACCACTTCTGTGTTTTGTGAATTGGTTGCTGTTTGGTCACTTTGGTTGTTGTGCGAGTTGGTTGGTTACTCTCGTTGGTCACCAAGTCAGTCAACGAGTTTCGAATACATGCCAACTTCCTTGCCTGAAGTGGTCTGGTCACAACCAAAGAATACATGCACCTGACAGTCTGCGTCAGAGAGTATATATCCACATGGAGAACTCCACATACACAATGAAACTCCCAGAAATCACGTGGGGAAATATATCTTGAGGTGGTGTTCGTAAGATCGAATGGTATTAATTCGAGTATAGTTTTTCATTTTAGAATGGCATATAAGGAAGATCGTAATGTTTTTGTTGGATCTTTATTAGGAAGTATCAAAGGTGACGTACAAAAATAAATATTTTTGTTTTGTAAGTGTGAGGTTATGACATGTGATAGTTTTAGATGACTAATAGTTTGTGAATTTTAGGAATTAAATTGGAAAAGAAAAATGGAGTGTGGAGTTCTATTACCAAAAATCTACGAAAAGTAGACCGTTTAGGTTCTTCTCAAGCAGTTACAGCTATGTCTTGGGGTGATGAAGAACAAAAAGAGATTCTTATTGGTCTTGCTGATCAGACTGTGAAAGTCTATGACACTGAATATAGTGTATTCGGCAGCACTTTTAAAGCAGATGTTGGCGAAGGAAAAATCTGTGGTGTTAGCCGTTTTCAGGAGTAAGTAATGTGTGCATGTTGTACCAAATTTTTAATTTTTACGCATTTTTTTAACCAAACAAAATATCTACCTCATTCAAGACTTCAGATAACATGCAAATGTAGTGGCCAAGCTAAAGTTGAATTCCATGGAAAATGTCATTAAAACCAAAATTAATATTCGTATAAATGTAAATAGTTGTAATTGCTCTTGCTTGTAGAAGCTATTTGATGGGGTTCACAAACATTTCTTCAATCATCTCTTCAATATTTGTATTAGAAGAAAAGTTCACTTAAGTTTCCCCTTATGAATCAACATTGTGTGTGACATATTGTCCAAAAAAATTGAATTTGATTGATATGTTAAGGAAGGTGTTGAAGAAGGCCCAACCATTTAAACTACGATGAAACCTGTCATAAGCAGTTGTTCTGGCAAAAATTGATTGCTTACAAGTTCGTGAATTTACTGAAGGCGTAAATGAAATCCTATTGCGCTGATTGTTGTGAAATGTATGTTCTCTTTAACGTTTTTAATTACCATCGAAAAATTAAAACGAGGAATTTAGGATTATTTGCTTTCTTAAGGCTAGTATTAAAATACACCATTTACTTGTCACTCGTTTTTTTGTTTGAGAAACTTTCTTTCTGTCCTCACTGAAATTCTCCTGTAGAATGGTCGGAAATGGATTACTTGAGGAAGCAAGATGCAAAGAGTTGTCGGTCAAGGAAACGGCGATTGGCCCACCTGAGAGGCTATATTGGGGTTCATTTACATCCTGTAAAGTTAAGGATTGTCCTGTTTTTTTTGTTTTTTTAGTTCTGTTACTTTGTCAGGATGAATAAATATACTACATTTTTCTTTGTCCCATTTTTCACTATTGAGTACTATGGCAAAAAATAAAATTTCCTTCTTTTAAGATCAAACAAAAAAAACAAAATGGGGACTTTCAAAGAGCCCTCCTACACACCACACATCTCCTAGTACTGGGGTCTTTTTAATGTTTTCATCCAAGCCCAGCTCAGAAGTAAAATAGTTGTTTGACTAATGTAACAAAAATGCGCAACAAAGCAAAAACGTTACTATAATGAAAATGAAAGCAGATAAAATTGCTTACAAGGTTATCCTATCCTTTACTTGATTCCCAAAAGCTATAGAATGATTTGCTGGCAAAAATAAAACATTTTCAAAAAAATCTTTGATGGCCCCAAATTTTCTGATAAACTCGGCCCTTTTACCACAGTCATTAAATTTCTGTTCCTTTCTTATTCTTTGCTATTTTGAACATTTAAAGACTGTTCCAATTTTGTTTTTTCTGCATTCCCTGAATCAGAAGCAACCTATTGATAGAATTTATTCCTTTTCACCACAACAGAAGAAAAAATTAAAAGGAAAGGGAAAAAACATGGTTAGGCTCTTTATCTCAAACACATTATTATGATGGAAGGATTTCTCATTCATGACCTAATTGTAGGACCTACTAAAATCTCAGGAAACTCAAGTTCTCTCATTGACTGTGTAATCTACGTCAGAAAAAGTGAATTTCTGTAGGTATTTACATCTGTCCCACAGTTACTTGAACAGCCTAAAAACAAATTGTGCAATTTGTGTTTAAAACCATGCATAGTAACATAACATTAAATTACAGGTCAATTGCATTGTATGTAGTAGTATGAATTATATACTTAACTTTAATCGGACTAGGACAGTGGTTTCAAGAAAATATTTTGGATTTTCAGAGGTGCTGTAATTGCAGTACAATCTGGACATATCAAAATCATGGCACATGAGACAGATGGTATATTAGAAATTGGAGGACCAATGGAGAAAATGAAACATAGTTCATTATCAAGTAATATAGTTGCCACTGGAGGCAAAGAGAAGGAACTTCAGCTTTGGGATTTGGAAGAGAAGAAATGTATATTCACTGCTAAGAATGCAAGTATAAAGTTTATCAAATTGTAAGACTAATGGAAATAAGTTGCTTGTTTAATTTGGATAGATTTCTGTGTAAGTTGTTGAAAATAGTGTGTGATTTTGCAGGTCAGACATGATTATCTTGAATTGCGTGTTCCTGTATGGGTGTCTGATATAGATTTTTTACCTAATTCAAATAAGGTTGCAATTTGCTCCAAATATGGTCATGTAGGTATAAATTAGATTTGTAAATATAATTTTTAAGCATATTTTATTTTCACAATATTAATGAAAATACATTTTTTTTTTTAGGTTCGTATATATGATCCTAAAGGTCATCAAAGACGACCAGTTTTTGACTTTCATATCCCTGAGCAAGTACTTACCGCTTGCAGTGTATCAGCTTCTGGAGAGTAAGTTAGTTCTGATGAACAATATCATGTAAATTTCCCCTATTATTAATATTAATGATACAAATAATATTACTATTACTGTCATGAAGTGTTATCATCCTTTAGATTTAATTTAAAAATATTAAATTAGTGTATTTCTTGTTACTTGTGTGTACCAATTAGGTTTTTTGTTTTTTGTGAACAATGATTTAATTCTGATACATGTTGTGTCCACTTAAGATCCAATTTTTTATGTTTCCAGCAAAATAGTTGTAGGGTCTGGTACTGGGCACATGACAGCTGTTGACACTAGAGGAAAAGGATGCCTCCACCATCAGTACAAAGGGTCAGTGGGTAGTATTCGAGAAATTGTCTGTCATCCCACAGAATCTCTTATTTTTAGTGTTGGTCTGGACAGGCATTTGAAAGTCCACTCTTTGGAGTCTCCGAAATTATTATTTAAAGTAAGATAATATTTATTATATAATTATACATAAATTTGTATTATATAATTGTCATTTCAAAGTGAGATCAAAATATTCACCACTTGGTTTTTTCTTGTACTTTTTCAGGAATATTTGAACACAAAGCTAAATTGTGTGTTAGTGCGAAATGAATTATTTTATAAACATCCAAAAGAAAAAGTGGCTGTTGATTCTGATTGCGAGATAATAGAACTTAGTGATAATGAAGAAAATTTAAGTTCAGTGACACATGAGAAACGAGCTTTAAATAAACTTTTTGAAGAAATGGAATCTGTAATTGATGTGCATAAAGCAAAGAAAACCAAAAGAAAGAGAGTATAGATAGAAGTAAAGAATAATTTCAGATGTGTTGTGTTAACCACATCTGAGGAAAATGTACATAAAATATTGTATTTCTTGTGTTGAATTCATGTAATAAAAGAACTTTTTTATGAAGTATTTTTACATTATAATAATTTGTAAGTTTTAATTGTGCCCACAAACACATTTCAACCTTTTACCATAGATCTTTACTTTAGGTTAAAAAGGCAATTTAGAGTAACATGCTTTTGTTGGAACAAGATTGGAACAAAACTGAACTTGTCAAATTTGTAATAAAAACATCACTACTTATCCATCAGTCATTAATATTGACTTCCCTTCAATGTATTGTTTAAGCCAATACAGTTGGCACATTACTCTCTCGCCCTTATGAAGGCATTTCGTAAGAAGAAAGTAACAACTAATATTGCAGATCGATTTGGGAGAAAATCTGATTGTTCCTTGATGACCTTATTTAAAAAAAAAAGTCCATGTGCAATTTTTTGAAAATTCAAGTAGTTTTCATGTAATGTGGCGCAAAATATGCAATTAAAAAATAACAATTTTTTTCAAAACGCTCCAAACAGAAATTGGTTCTGTAATGACACAGGAAACTTCCAAGGCCATGTATTATTCTCAATTTTAGACGCTTCGAGTCGAAGTAATGGCCAGAGCGCACAACCTCCTTGTCAAGTTTGGGTCACACTGTTGATCTCTGGCAGAAACTCCCGGCACTGATATTACATAGTGCGACAAATTCGAACTTGGTCTCCTGCAGCGAGTTGAAAGAATGTGTTCTTTAATAAATCACACGCTAATTGCAATAATGAAATCAGAAATATGCCATGTTTTTCTAAAAAAGGTAAGCAACAAATAACACTTTCGAGAAACTTTGAAACGTCTCAGTAATAATACCGGAGAAATATGTAGTTGATTAATATACGGATCATGTAACAAAAATTGTATTACAATAAAAAAGAAACAGTACGAGAGAGCTCAATAAAGTTTGAAATGTACTTACGAGTTAGAAACTTTTCCTGGTAACTTTCCGTTTGTTTATTACTTACTTAACTTCTTATAAGGGTGTCCAGCAAGTAATCCACCAAAAGGTTGTGGCCACTTTCCCTTCCACCAGGCCATCAAACCGCGCGCCCTTCTTGCCCGCCCTTCCCCTGACTCGGAACTTATTTTTCCTTAAAACCCAACATGCGAAAGCTCGAGCGGCGCGAGGCGGCGAATAATGGCTATATGTTTGCCAGATATTTTCTATCAAGTAACCGAGAATTGTATTATGTGTGTATTCTTCACTATTTAATACTATTTATGTTTATTTTCATACTAAATTCTCCTTTACACAAACATCTTTGGTAAGTGACCGGAATATGTTTAGATGGCGAATTCTTTCCCTGTGTCGTTTTGTGTTGTGATATTAAATAATTTAGTTACGTATTGTACTTAGCAATAAGAATTTTAAATTGGATTGATGTATTATTTCATTTCAATTGATCATTTCTTCCCCGTAAAGAGAAAATTGGAATTAATATGGCTGAAGGTTACACCCGGGTAAGATGGTAAAATGTTTCGCTAATCCTAATGGCAAATGAGTGGTTACACTATAACCATAGATTAACATGTATTATAAACTCTAAAATAAATGCACAGAATTGCTGCAGACACTTTCAGAGTATTTTGAAGTCAAGGTGATTTAAAGGCGAGAAAACTAAATTTTTTAAACTGCAGCTCAGCAGACAAAAAATCTGAAATAAATTCACAATAATTTGTGTTTCGAGAGGAACTTTTGAGACTGTTCCAGGGATCTAAGTCACAGTGAAAACAATTTTTTTAAAATTTTTTTCACTTGAATTTGGCATTGAGAAAATATTTAAAAAATTGCATTTCTGATAGTATGAATTATTTTCTTTTTTTTCACTTAGAATAGTTTTAAGTTGACGAAAAAATTAAAATTAATTAAACACGTTTTTGGTTGTAGAGGGGTGTGGGTGGTGGGAAGGGGGCTAAAGAATCTTTCAAAAATAGTTTTGTCAGAGTTATAGTGTAACTACTCAAATATCATTTGGTTGGGGCCAGGTATCCAGTGACGTACCGCCGTTCAGTAGCATTTGAACATTCGTTACTTTTAAATCTAGCGTCAATTTTTCTGTCCGCCAGCTCTATACTCGGGTTTTTATTTCTTGGGGCGTGAGGGTCTATTTTCACGATGGAATATCTCACGGTATTTTGCGTCTTTCTCGGTAGTGCCGCTAGATGTCGTAAGATCGTCACCGAATCGAGCAGTGTTGGCGATCATGCGACAGTAGCGGCACGAAATAAAAACCCAATAGTAAGCTTGTTACCTCACCCGCGACCTAGACATGCTTGCGATACATAGTCTTTCGACGGCAGCGATATGTTGGTGAAACCTCTCACCATGTTCGTCACTCACATCAAGATTAGGTGGGAACAAGTCCAAATGGGAATGAAGGAAATGTAATTTTAGAGTCGTGTTGCACCCCATACCCTTGTAACAGTCCAGTTTGTGTTCCGTCAGTTCTCCGTAATTCTCAGACATTACGTTTCCCAAGAAATTATCGCGTACAACTTTCTATTCAAGCCATCTTCTAAGTATGAAGTCACGGATCTGAGGCCAAATGAAAATTTCTTTTTTAATTTTTGCAGTGTTGAACGCGGGAAGTTTTGATGGTAATAATTGAAAACCCTGGTAATCTTTGTCTAATGCGTGGAGCAACAGTCTCACAAAATTCTTCATAAAGCCCAATTTCAAATGGAATGGTACTAACAGCAGCTTTTGTCAACAACGGGTTCATGAGACACATCCACCAGAATGGAAAATTTCACTATCTAAGATCACTGTTTGACTGGTGTGGAATTATCCTTCCTTGCCCTATCCCAGTGACACAAGAAACAGCAATAAAAAGTGGATAAATGCCGTTGCTAAATATAGGGGGGGATCTCTAACACGTGGTGTAGTCAGATGCCTTGTTTCCTGGGTCCTTGATACCCCAAAACCGAATGACGGCAAACTGTCTGTGAAAAACGCTGGCGACTAAATCACTCAGTTGATTTCCTCCAAATTTGATATTCCCTAATTGGTCTGGCTGATGTGACCCTTTGAATTTGAAACCAAAATTTTAATTTTGGGGGAGGGGGTGTTTTACGTGAAGCTCCTGGGATATTTTCATCAAAATGGCACCATTTTTTTCATTAATGTCTTGTGAGAATAAAGTCAAATACACTGATAAAATTACGGCCCGTTTTCCACGGTTAACTCGGAATTGCAAAAGTTCATTTTGGTGTCTTCCTAAAATTACAAAATAGAAGATATTTTTCCTTCAAGTAAAATTCTTTCTCAGTAGTTAGTTCTTTCATTACGGTCATGCACATTTTTTTGAAAATAATGGTAGGTTTAGCAATATTGCGTGCGTTATGTGCAATATTAAAAAATAACAAAAACAATATTTTCTCAAAAATGGCTACAATTTCTTTTAAAAACCATTTGTAGGGTGAGTGCTAAATGTACTCTTTGAGATGACATAAACGCCATGTTGCTCTATTTTTTGTCCCCTCCCCCAACAAAATTACAGAAATGTAATTTTTTTACTTGTTCCTCACGTCGTTAATATTTACATTAGCGAGTTTGGTTTACATTATCGCATTTAAAAGTCCATGAGCTTCAAATTATATCTTATAAAGTTTCTCCATAACTCAAAACGTTTCGGTAAAATTGAGCTCAAATTTCTTAAAAAGTTTCAAAAATTATTTAAATATGTTTTTGAAAGATCTCTCAAGCCGTTAATATGCACATTTCCAGCAATTTGTAACTTCTTATTAAATTTTTGAGTTAAAAGTGCTTCAAATTTCGAATTACTGTAGCGCTTAACGCCATTTTCTTAAAAACGGCTTCAAATTTTTGAAAGAAAGTTGCTATGTAGGACGAGGTTTTACTGTTCTTTGATATTCTGAACTTTCGGTTCTATTAGGAAACGGAAAATTTGATTTTTTTAAAAAAAAATATTCTTTGGGCAGCGATAGTGGCATGTGGTAAGAGAATGTGGCTAGTTCCAATTGCTAGACGAGACGGCAGGAAATAGAAAACAAATATGGCATTGTCTGTACCATTGTGTGGCGCTAGTTAAAATAGCTTCGGCTATTTTACTTGGGAAACCGATTCACCATGTGAATTCTTTCAAGGAGGCAAAAGCCGTATTGAGATGAAATAAATCGAGAGGAAGGATAAAAGAGCTCAACTTATTCTATTCGGTAGTCAAATAACGGAAAATCTTAAAAGTAAAATGGGTCTATATCTAAAGTAAGAAGCAGGATGGAATATTGGTGATATTGACACAATTAGTTCAATTTAATTTTTGAAATCAAGTTTCCAAATCGGAATCGATATTTTGAGTATTACTTCAAACAATTTTATAATGTTATTCGAAGGAAGGCGGAAATATGTGAACAAGATATAAAAAAGTTTTATATTACTATTTAATATTGTACTAGACCGTTTGCCTCTGTTACAGCATCACTAGTTTGATATGTGGGAAAAAAATATATGGACATGAAATGTGACGAAAGCATAAACCGCCTGCGAGTTCGGCCTCCTCCCGCCCCGCAGGCTGCCGGCCGGGCCGAGGACTCACTACGGGCGGATGACGCACCGGAATGGAAGGGGGAGAGGGTGGTGTTTTTCCAAATTTCACGTTACGACGCTCCTGTCCATCCGATATAATGAATGATTGACACGGCATTGGATTCAGGGAGCTCGTCGTCATCGCGCTACAAGCGCATATTTTTTAATTTCATCCCGAAACTATGAGAGCAATTTGAAAACATTTTTGGTAAAAGAGCTTTGTAGCATAAATTCTATTTTTAAAATAAGGAGTCAATGCCGTTTACAGATTGAAAATCGGACCATTGATTCAGACACTGGTAAATTTTGCTTATTTTGGTGCTGCCACGTGGTGGCGACAAAAACTAGTGGCGATACATTTAGCCTTACAGAACAAGTTATCGATGAGTTTGCTGAACGATAATTCCGATGAATGGAGCTGACTTTGAAAAACGTGTAAAGTAATATTTTCACAATACCCAACTGTATAACTAAGCTTCGCCATTGGATATAATAGGCGTTTTGCGCGATCACAGTACATTAATATTGCGGAGCAGTTACAAATAATGCGAGAACGTAGGTGCTATTGTAGCACCACTACTTTTTTGTTAATAAATCAATCAAATATCACTTATTACATTTAGAAATTAATAACAGTATTTTTTCCCAATACATTTAATCTTTCATTAAACTATTTTGGATACCACTTGTCATATAGTATAGTTTTATCATGATTTGACTTGTCAACAATAACAAGTAGATCTGAAATAAGAATTCTTTATGTAAGTGGTGCCTGAATCATCCGTCACAATACAGCTTAGATACAAGGAACAGAATACAGATACCCAACGGAAACCGATGATTAATGCATGCAATTTACCTTGGGAAAAGGAAAACAAATTATAAAGCAGAAAATTCATAACTTCAATGATTTTATTAAAAAATTTATTCTTCTTCGTAAATAAATAACACTGATACAAAACTATTTCATGAGAAAATAATGTTCTATTATGCAATAAGATTAACGTTAATTTTTTTTTAGTCTTAATAACCCTTGAGCTGTAGCGCTAATTTTTGTAACACGACCAGCAGTGCAAGACAAATTTGTCAAGTTCCCTTTTTGCATTCTTTATTCTTCTAAACACAACATAAATAAATTGTTATTAATTTACTTAAATTTGATGATATTATTTTAAAAAGAAAAATATTTTGAAATTATCAATAATCTTGCAGAACCTACTTATTGAAAGGACACATTTTCTTGGAAATTATATATTCTTTGTAATTTAAATAATTCAGGTTTTAAGTTTATAAATTGAATTCAAACAGATAAGAATGAATACAAGAGATAGATGCAACATACTATAGGTAATAAAGTAACTATACAGCTATTTACCACATAGCTAAATAGTACTACATATTATTATTGGCATAACTTTGTTCAGAGATCTCCCAAAAATAATGCAACATCCTCTTTTCTGATTATTATTTTTCTATCTCTTCAACTTTGTCAGAAGTGATATTAAATGTAATTTCTGTATAATACACCTAGTAATTGAGAATGAAAACCTCTGGTGGATTAATTTAATTTGGTTATAGTAGGCCAATAAATAATTAAAAATTATTGGATTAATTTGCACGGCTTTATTAATATTAAAAGTATTTTATTACTAGAGTCATAGCGAAATTGCAAATCTAACCCAGTTACTAACAAACTCAAATTTATCATCAAACGCTTTTTGATTTATCAAAAACCTTACTAATAGAATTGTTGGAAAGATTGAGAAATTGTTAAAGCCGATACTTGGTGTTGCAACAACAATCACAGATAAAAATTAGTGGTGGCAGATTGGAACTAGTGCTCCACCCCAAGGGGTAAATGAGATATTTTAAATACAAAACAATACAAATAAAATACATTCTTACATTAAAAACATCTGTTCAATGGATAAGTACACATTTTCATTCACCAAACAGTTCAATGATTTGTACCTTGATTCAGCGTATAACTTACATCACTTATATCATACAGAATAATCTGTAAGTAAAATATTTACAGCATAAAACACAAAGAACACATACAATCCCTAAGAACTTGGCACTCATCAATTACAGTACTACTTGTCATAAGTACTTAAATAACATTACTATGCATGATGATAATGATAATAATAATTTTAAATTTTCTTCTAAATGTAGTTAACATAACTTATCAATGATTTTGAAAATTTACCACTGAAATCTCGAATAAACAAATCGCATACAGATACAATCTCAATATGAAACACATGTTTTTGCAGTGAGAAAGAACAATTTCCGGAATTTCATTCATTAGATTAGGGGCCATCCATAAATTATGTAACACTTGCAACAACACCCCTCTCCCATTTACAAAAAGTAAAAATAAATTATATAACAGGAAAAACAATTTGTATTAATTTTACTTGTGTTTTACAAATTTGTGTTTAAGTCAGAATCAATTGTCTACACCTAACAATTGGATAGAATGAAAAAGATTGGGAACAATTTTTGGGTGAAGGAAAAACGCATAGAATGAAAATGTTTGACAACAAATCCGTTCACTCGCCCTCATTGACGTCCCTCAGGGAATGTGTGTACAATGCCAATTTAATTGGATTCTAGAATATAGATCAGTTTTAAATAGTTTCTTAGAAATTGTACAGTTAATTTTTATACTTCAGTACAAGAATGACAAAATAAATTATTTTCACAAATGTTAAAAAAAAAAAGTTTTACATAACATTAAGCTAACTACCTCTATGTAACACGTTAACGCTGCCTCACACCCCCTCCCCCATGTTTGGCATTACATAATTTATGAACGACCCCTTACAAGGAATGTTTGAGAAAGAAATATTGAGATGTGCAGGAAAAATTCAAAACATTTAATATTCAACACAGAGAGCTAATACGTCTTTTGAACATATAGTAAAAAATGTAGAAATCAGAAGTTAGTATTTCAAATACAGACACAAAATTCACAGCAACTCTTAAATAGTAATGGAGCTCAATTACTTAATGAAGAACACTACTGAATGCTAATATCTAAATTACCACTTATGCAAAACATTATTTTGAAAGCTATTTGAAAGATACAGATGGTAATTGTTTTTTATTGAAGTAAAGAAATTATTAACTATAATAGAAATGGATAATTTGAAAGAGGAAAACAAGACAATTAAACAAACATTTATGACAAGTTCAGCTCGTGTGAGCCCTTCTTCCAACAGTGAGGCTGAACTATGGAAACTGTGGTAAAGGAATGAACTGCACAATTAGTTAAGTGAAGATTTCATACGGCAACAACATGAAACCACTGTCAAGCTGTACCCGAATTAGGAATTAAATAATTCTTTGCATAGAAAGGACAATAACATTTGTACTAAAATTGCATTAAGGCCACAAACTGTAAATGCACTTTAGTCATTTAATAAGTAATTGTATATCAACTCGGAATAAATAAATACTATTCTTCACTATTGAAAGTGTGATAATTTTCTTGATACCTTTTAAGTTACTATACCATCGACATTTCTCAACTCTGGCTAATGCAGAGAATCCAAATGAATAAATTATTATTTGTACCTCATTGCCACATTGCCAAACTATCCTTTCCATCACAGGTTGTCTGGTTCAATGTTTTTTCTTTCACATTTTATGATATCCAACTCCATATTATTTTAATCTGCCCTCAATTACTTTTTTCCATTTTTTATCATGGAAAGAAGGAGAATAAGAAAACAAGTTTTAAATTTTTCGGTAAACACAGTTGAAAGCAGATCACAGATCAGTGACATCAACACTCTTCGAAAACAGAAAGTAACATGATTTATTCAGTTACTATTATAATACAAAATATAAGTCCAATATGATTTCCCATGGAAATTTAGAGCTTGCAATAACTTTCAACTAATCAAAGTCAAGAAAATTATTTAACAGAACCTTAAGTTACAACAGTACTACATCCAGAGCGACTAATTCTGCAAACATAGGCATACATTACTTGAAATATCCTATATGCTACTTTTTTTCATATAATTAAATAATATTAAAAATAAATTATTGAAGTATCTTTTTTCATTGTGAGGGAAACAAAGAGATCACATAAAACATTTACATAAATAAATGAATGAAAGAAACATTCTTTAAATATCTGTTGAGAGGAAATCACTGGTTGAACCTACTACTACTAGTACTTCCATATAAATGCGATCTTACTTGTTTTATGGCTTCACACCATACAAGAGCATTTCCTTCAGGATCATCCCAGCGAAATGTGCGCTCTGGAGTATGAACGAAAAAGGTTTTGAAATTTTTTGCTTCTTCATGTAATTCTGAGCTCCAAGAAACTTCTCCCTTTAAAACTCTGTTAATAGGATCAGCATAATATAAATGCGGTCCTGTGGTTAAAAAAAGTAACCGTTTTTTTTGCCACAGTCCCTTCTTTTCAAACACAAGTCCATGTCGGAGAATTAGATTTCCTTCAACTAACAAATGCCACTCATTGTGTTGGGTCTGTTCATGAAGTCTACCACTAATTTCTTCAGGAGAACTCAGGATTGAAGCAATGCTTATTTTACCATAATTTTTATTTTTTTCAGCTGATACACCATCGTAGAGAGTTAAGCCCAACAATCTAGATAATTGTTTGTTGTCGAGACCAGGACACACTGAGGAATTCTTAGGATCAAGTCTAACAGTTTCTCTTATTGGACACAGAGGTTGTAATGGAGGTGTCTTCTGATAAAGACATTCAAAATTAACTCCCAAGAAAAAACTATGGGAGCGCACAGAATCATACTGACCTCTATCCAAGGCACCAAGTCTTGAGGAAGCATCTAGGACTAACAATTTCAGTACTATATCTTTAGTTTTGGGCTCAAAAGTATCCTTAAAGTTCAATTCTAATTTCCTGATTTTTTGAAAAATTTCAGCTTCACTCCTTCCACAAAACGGAGGATGACCTTCAACCATCTGATAAATAATACATCCCAGTGCCCAAAAGTCAGAGGCAAATGACACACTTTGCTCATTCAAAAGCTCTGGAGACACATACTGTGCTGTTCCAACAAAACTTCCAGAACGGGAACGATGGTTAGGAAGTGATTTATCTGGAAGGGAAAAAGTAACAGTAAGAAAGCGATAGTATTTATAACACACAAAATATACTACTGCATATTTGTTAATTGCATTCTGGATTAATCATTTATTTGGTTATTAGGAAGTTATGTTTGGAGCTGATTTACACTTAAACTTTTTGTGTTTCCCAACAGTATTAGAAGAGTTTTGCTGGACAACTTTAATCCACATTTTCTGTGAAAAGAAATGATATACTACTGGAAAGTTAACCAATGGCCTCACTGTGTGACCATATGGACTTCTGCCTCTAGGGAACCTTACTCTCAAAGATGAAAATTAAAAGCCAAGTGGTTTGAGAAAATTGCCCTACCAATGTAACTGAAGGCTCCTGAAGTGATGGTGAAATAATTCTCAGTAACAATTAAAAAATATTTTAAAGTCTTTGTGGGATTTATAAATGAAAAATCAAGTGAAGTAATTATTCATCTATTACCTTACTCAAGAATAGTTTTAATCAATATTAAAAATGTATTGTAAAAGTTTTGAGGTTTCACACCAGGGATTGGGGTGCAAGCCTACAATAAAATAAATGCTTTTATAACTCTCTTTTAATTCTTTTTACTGGGTAGATGAACATTTATTTTCACACAGTTAGGTTAATGCTGAAAACAACTGACTCCCTCCTGCACCTGTGAACTAACTTGTAGGTTATTACACTCGTACAAGCCTCCTTTACATCCAGCAATTCACAGACATGGTAACATAATTATAAACAAACAATAGAAGAAATTATTGCCTACATGCTCAACCAATCTGAATAAAGTAGGTGTCCAAAGAAAAACTCACAGAAAGGTGATGAATTGCACTTTAATTTTACAAATATTAATATTTGTTGAACATGTGTAATTCAGGCAGGTGCAAACGCAATACATGGCTTAAAAATTAGATTTCTAGGGCCTGCAGCTACAACTATGTTGCTCATCTATAATCTACAAAATGTGATCTCATGGGAACTATTAATGCCTTTTGACTCTTCTGCACCCCACTCTATGGGGTGCAGTATCTACAATTCAGATCCTTAAATTAAGTATTAAATTTTTTTAAAAAAAACATGAGTAACTAACATATTTATCCTTTCAAATTGGTGTGGGAGAAAATGAGAAGGTCCGGCTTCCACATTTGCGAGATTTCTTGCTAAGGTATGCGTGATGATTATTATTATCATTATCATCATCATCATTATTATTATCATTATTATCATCATCATCATTCTTATCATTATTAATTATTATTATTTTAATTATTATTATTAATTATTTTAATTATTATTATTATTAATTATTTTAATTATTATTATTATTAATTATTTTAATTATTTATTATTATTATTATTATTATTTTTCATTTGTCATTTGATGGATTTTAACCCTTAAAACAAAATCAAATATCCAAAATTTGCAGTCACTTATGAGATTACACATGTGAAACAATATTTCATCCACTGAATCACACTATACTAGATCACGAAGAATTTATGCATTGAATAAAGAACTAAGCATACACAAAGGTCTCACGCAGTAATGAAGAAAATTCCAGGCTGAAGAGCATAATATGATGTTTTAGTGTTATGAACGTAAAACTTACGTAGAATTTGTTTGTAGGGATGATAATTTTAACGCATTGCCATAATTATATAAAATAAATGACTGATCCATATTATGGTTTTGCTGTCATACACTTCAGAAATTTCTTTTAACAATACGTAACTTGAATGATTTGGAATGCTACACCTACACAATTAGTGCTTTACTGAACTCCAAAAACGTTCAACTAATGAGTATATTCTTCAGTTTTAGTGACCTCGAAACAGAAAGTGTGGCAATGCTTGTAACTCCTACAGCCTTCCAAAACTGTGAGATCTGTATTAATTCTATTAGAAGAGATGGCTCAGGACATCAACTAACTGATGTCACTGCAGTCCCTCTGATTGGGAGGTCCTAAGTTCGAGTTCCGACGACGGCAGGATTTTCCACTCTAGCTTGTCAGCTAGGTCGAATTCAGTCGCTGTCTGGAGGAGAATGCTAGCGAGTGGAAGGCTGATCTGCTCTGATCAGTAGTGTTCCGTGGTTTCTCAGATCAACATCGGGTAATGCCGGAGCAGTACCTTAACAAATGGGCCACAGGCTACACATCATCTTTCCTGCCTCTTCTTTGTCCTATCCTCACCCCTTATACACACTTCCACTAACATGCACTATACTACCACACATGGAGCTAAGACCATGTCCTGGCTCGAGCGTTGCCTCGCTAGTGGGAGATACTTGTAAAATTACAAGTCCATAAATTACCAACTTGCTGCACATACTCATTTTTATTTGATGCTCAACTATATTTCATTATCCAAGCATTTCCAACCAATGCCCTTTACAATCTGTCACATATCTTGACCAACTCTGACTCCATAGAAGACAAGATTCTTATTTTTTGCTTTTTCAATTGACTTGTGAATTTTTTATCTTTACAATATAATCAGCCAAACGTTTGGAATCACTTGCAGTCCACCAACAAGCACCTGAACTAAATTCAAGACTTCTGATATGTTGTCTATCTTCAAATTTATGTTCTTCATCCCCCTGTAAATATCTTAGAATTTTCTTCAAAGCTTGAAAATGTATTTTCCTATAGTCCTTTGAATATTGTGACAATTTCCTCTAGGTATACACTAAATTAGACCTTGTTGCAGTTACTAAGAATCCAATACACCCATATATTTCTTGATACAAATTCTTATCTACCTTTGTGGATTCTTTGCACTCATCTCATTTTGCACCAATTACTCCAGGAGGAGGACAGAACTACAAGATTCCGTCACAAATCTCTTTCCAAGATATTATTGAAACATTTTGATTGATTTCAAAGAAAACAGTCAATTTTTTTAACTTCAGCTTGAAAAAATACTGTTTTCATAAATTTCTTTAAATTGTTAACACTTAATTAGATCGCTGGTGAGGTAGATAACTTTTGATTATGATAAATAAATAAAGAGGTTGCCTGGTATCAAAGCTTATGATCGTTTTGATCGCATAGCGATCATCCTCAGAGGTCATGCCGCTTCCGGGCCGAAAACAAAGTTCTGACGATCCTAAGCTGAATAAAAGGTATTGACACCAGACAACATCTTTATTTATTTATTGTGTTAACACTGTCTTTAATTTTCCATTCAATTTGTCAATTATTTCTTCATTGCAATTACGCTATTGACGTAGAACCTGAATACCAAGAATCCAAACTCTTAAATACATGAATGGATCATTTTTACCAGATTTCAACCCACATAACCTTTTTATTTTACATAAACCTTTAATTCCAGCAACAACCTGCCCCTGATAAACCATATGAAGTATTTTTCAATGATAATACTTTATCTTCCGCAACATTGACCCTTTCTGGAGGATACGTGTAAACATTTCTCTGCAACTTACCATCGAGACAAGCAGTTTCCATGTCAATGAATTTCATTTCATTTCATAATCTCTTATTGTAGCAAGAGTAAGAGTAATTTGAGTGTTTCATGACAGGACTGTACAAATTGTACTAATCAATGTCAATCTTCTGTCTTGAACCATCAGCAACCAACTCAGCTTTATACTTAATACTGCTGCCATTTCCCTTCTTTTTAAAAACCTATTTGCTTTCATCTCATCTCTAGGTTTATTCCCAACTTCCAAGGTTTTGTAATCACTCATGTTTTTCAATTGTTTTATTTGTGAGGAACATAGAGGTTATTATAACATTTTTGTTCCTCATTAAAAACATCTCTGCTCTGGTGAACTTTATGGTCTATCTGATCATCCATATGGTGATCTTTTTGATCTCTTGAATAATCAATAAAGATTGCAATATTCAATTTTTCGTTAAATTTCTTTCTGTTTACATTTTTGATTTTGTAAAATACCGTACAACCAAATACTTTCAAATGTATGACAGAAGGTTACTTGCAAATGGTACATCTTAGATCCAAATGCCCATTGGTACCTTACTCGTCTTCTTGATTGGTGAAAAATTTGCGTATGTGTGCAAGCTCCTGAATGAGCTGTCTCTGCCCAAAAGTTTTTAGTTCTTTTAACAAGGCTTTAAACGATTTCTAGTTGTATCAATTATAGTCCTATTTGCTCTTTTGCAATTCCATTGCTTTGGGGTGATTATGCAGCAATTCTCTCAAGTTTATTCCTCTCTTACTACAATATTCTATTAATTATTTATTGACAAATCCAGTAGCGTTATCTGAACGTAAGCAACTGACACATTGTATAGTTTCATTCTAATGCCTTTCTATAAAATTTTCTAATGAAATTAATACTCTTACATTTCCTATTCAAAAATCAACTAAGAATTGTTCTAAATCCGTGAACTATTACCATCACATAACAACTTGCAGCAATAGATTTTTCAGACCTCGGTTCACATCAATAACAATGAATACGTTCTTGTATTCTGGTAGTCTTCTCTTGAATTACTTCAGGAAATGTTAACTCTGAAAACGTACCTTGCATGCAAGCTCCACAATATCCATGTAAAGTTATTGAGGCTCCTCACAGCATCTTCATAATATATTTGTAATTGATGTTCTGTAAACTGAGGTACCATAAATTTCTGGTCAATCCATTTATGCTAAAACATACTTCACTCTTGTTTTCTTCTTTTTTATTTCTTCCTATTCACAGAATAAAAACATCTTTTTCAAATGATCCCGTTGTGATTAGATTTTTATTTTCCGTATCACAAGATTCACACACTGTTTATATCCAAAACAATAGTTTTGATTCTTTCCACTAGACCCACTACAGACTGCATGTTCCATTCTAAATCTGGAAGAAATATTATATCTTTAATGTTAACTTTTACAAGATCTTTGTCATTCATGTAAAACCTTTTACATTTTCCCTATAGTCTGAAAATATTTTTCTTCCTATTTCTGCAGTCGAAATTTCAACTGTCTGATTTTGATTCTTTCAGTTCCTAGTTCTCATTGCTTTTTTTATAGCATCCATGTGAATAAGGTTTCTACTTGTACCACACTTGTGAATTATTATTATTATCATTCCTATGGTTATTCTTCGATACATCAAGCTCGCTAGTCCAATTATTTCAATTTCTTATTTTATTTTAGCAATTCTTTGCTAATGCTCTACTTTTTCCAGTTATAGCAACTGAATTTCATTCTTTCCTTCTCTTTGTAAGCTGCAACATCACATTCACTATTTAATGTAGTAAACAAACCTTCATATCACATCTAAGATTATTCCTTATTACCTCATATACCATAATCAGATTTGAATATAGCAGGCATTTTGGTTTATTCAATCTTTCTACATGGAAAGACCTAGCTCATCCTTTTGATTTTCATTGCCAATAGACCTATTACAATTTGCTAGTGATTGCACACTTATTTAAAAAAAAAACAAACCTTAATTCTTTTATTATCATTCTTGTCTACTTTGACTAACTTAATTTTTAAATGAGTCAACCTCTTGTAGCTCTACTCCTTCATATTTTCATTTCAATAATTCCTACAAGGGTTGCTCTAGTAATAACCCTATAAGCCATCACTTGTTCTTGCTACATCATGAATACAATCATTGCAATAACTTCATTTTTCTTTTGCAATTCTTCCCATTTTCTGACACTTACCTCCTCATTTCCTATGTTATTAGGTTCATCTTTTACAATGATGTCTAAATATAGAGGTTTTACCTTGATTAAAGCTCCAATTCTCAAGTTCTGCAGCCCATAAATAAAGTTAGAAGGTTAGCCCAAGTAGGCAATGATCCCACAGCCCATGAATGGGACTTGTCAATTGCTCACATTTCAAAAACGAGAAAATCTTGGTCATATTTGTCCTTCTGGGATTAACCATGTACTAACCTACTTTCTGCTACAAAATTGTGGTGGTGTTCAGTTCTGATATAAATTATAACACATTCATAAAAGGACACATTTATTTTAATATGTTTCACAGAATTCATTTTGTGGACAATTTTAGTAAGACTATATGCAGTTACTATCTCCTAGTTACATGTCAATAGTTTGTAACCTTTCAAACAAACAATAACATTAGGTTAATTAATCTGTGCAAAAAACTAACAGAAACATGTTTGCACTAAATAATCACTCAAATCTCATGACAAAATATCCTAATCAGTCATACAACCAATATCCCATTTTTGGAACTGGAACTTCTTTTCTTACATTTCTGACACACTCCCACACACACACACACACACTCCCACACACACACACACACACTCCCACACACACACACACACACACACACACACACACACACACACTTGCAATCAAACCAACACTCCTGACTTAAATAAATTTCAAACCTCTCCAAATATAAGGAACTTCCCTATTTTCATCAAAGTGTAAGCCACTGTATGTAAACGAATACACATACATAATTCCTCAGCAACACTTTTTTGAGGCATGCCTTTGATTCACGATAGACCTTAAGAAAGGGTAAAGGTGGGCTTAAGAAAGGTACTATTCTCCACATCAATTCAGAGTAGGGGGTTTAAGTTTCTTTGAGTATTCACTATCACATGAGAGGGAGGGGGGTGGATCTCTACTAATTACAAATAATCTTATTATCACAGGAGATCTCAACTGCAGACTGGATAAACCTGATCATAAGATCAAAACAGTAATAGATCTAATGGCAGAACAGGGCTTTAAAGTAGGAAACAGAAATGATTTCAAGACATTCTTCGCTCAAAATGGCTCCAGCACAACACACCAATACCCAAAACTCAAGAGGCACTATGGACATCAACAATCACACCTCTCAGAAAGCATATACCGATTAAAACTACATTAATACTGAAAAGATCAGGACCACAACTTCATACAGGCACTACAAATTGAAGACTTCCAAGGAAAATCAACAAAGAAACCCAGGAAACCGTAAGTTCTAAAACTATACAAATTCAAAAAGAAATAAGAGAGCCTGAGAGCAGCTGCCATTATACTGAATGAGGCCCTCGTGTTTTCAGCTGCCCCCTACAAATAGAGAAAAGCACAACCTTGGATTAACAAGGAGTGCTACAAGCAACACAAAATAACCTTGAAAGAAAAACACAAGGCCAAAAATTGTATCTCAATCAAAGACTACTCAAAAAAGAGGAGAGAATGCAAGAAATTACTGAAAGGAAAAAAACACCACACAAAGAAAAAGAAGCGATACAAATAGCGGAGGATGCATCAGGAGACCCATTTATTGCACTGCCCTGCAAATGAAATATGCAAAGCACAACAATTAAAATGAGCACATGAAAAAAACACTTCACAGACATCCTAAACGCACAACACACAACCACACGTAGGCACCAAAATCCCAAACCCAGGTACCGAAAACGTTGTTCAATTAACTAAAGAAGAAGTAAAACAAATAATAATGAAAATGAAAAACAAGAAAGCAGCAGGACCAAATGGAATATACAATGAACATATCAAAGCTACAGAAAAATCAGTTAATGGGAACGTGGACAGAGATAAATAAATGCATGGAAAACTGAGAAATACTGGAAATCAACCATAGAAGAACCAATCACTCACAGAGAAAATCAACCATAAAAATATTATGCAAAGGAAAAGGGTACGAGCTGACCCCAACTCTTACAGGGGAATTGCACTTGAAAACAATGATTTCAAAATATTCTCAAAACTAATCATGGAGAGACTTGTGAAAGAGACAGACCACCTAAAACCGAAACATCAATACGGTTTCAGGAAATTGGGAAAGGCACTAGGCGATCGGTAATTTATTAGACGAAGTAGAAGAAGCCCTGAAACAGCCAAAAGGATAATACTACGCAAGGCATTTTGACGTCCTGAACAGAAAAAGGGTACTGGAAAAGGTCACACACGACAGGAGAAACGCACATCACAAGGATACTAGAGAATGTTCTGGTTTACAACAAAGTAAACATATATGATGGAGTTTGTTTCTCTAAAGACATCGTTTGAACAAATTGAGTGATGCAGGGGGACCCAATAAGCCCCATTCTGTTTAACATACTAACCACAGATATAAGGATAAAAGAGCACAATCAGGAAACAACCCTATACATGTATGCAGATGATACAGTGCTTTTGTTCACGCAGCCTGACAAGCCTCCAACAAGCCATAGATAATTTACGAGCATGGGCAGAAGAAAACTACCTCCAAATCAATAAAAGCAAGACAGTGCAGATGACCTTTCAAAAAGGAGGAAAAGCAGCAAGTGAGAAAATAAAATTCAAGAACAAATATCTTGAAATAGCTCAATATTACAACAAGACAATAGATGTTTAGGAATAACGCTCCACACAACAGGCAGCTCATTCAAAATTCATATCAGACAAAAAGCAGCAATGGCGATTAGAGCCATGTGCTCAATAAAAGTAACCATAAACTGTCACTAGAATCAGCAATCAAAATATTTCATGTACTCATTGGCACAATCATAACATATGGAATACAATTAATACGGGAAAAATCTATCAATAGCTGATCTAAGGTCCATAGAGAAAACATAGGGAAGATACCTGAAGAGAGTCCTGTGTCTTCCACAGGACACATAATCAAGATTAGTATATGTACTGACCAGAGAACCATTCTACATTGAGGACTTAGATACAAATTACTACTACCATCCACCAGGCAAAGTACACAAGTTCTAGAAGAAAGAAAAAAGAAAAGAAGAGAAATATGGCCAGAATTTTACTCAACAGACGTCATGATGAAAAGAAAATGGGCAGAAACAAATCAGGAATTAAGACACATGATCACAAGACTGGCGACTCGTGGATTTCATCACAAAATCTGCGGAACCTCACATCAGCACAAAGTGAAAGAAGACTGCTTGTGCTCCCTGTGTGGTAAACAGTGTGAACGATATAATATTCAAAGACACAAGCAAAGAACTAACATAGGAACAGAATACATCAAAGAACTTTCATTACATTTTAATGCACTTTCGTGCGCACTCCTTTATCCATTATACAAATAATCTTACCTTCACTTTCCAAGGTTTGATTTTCAAGTATTTTTGCCGATCCAAAATCTGTGAGAAGTATATGCATATTCTCATTCAATAAAATGTTTTCTGGTTTTAGATCTCGATGAATAATTCCCAGGCGATGCATGTGCTCCAAAGCTCTGAGTATTTCAGCAGCATAGAATTGCACACATTTCTCATTGAACTTCTTTCCATTTATGTATGGAAGTAAGTCTCCATTGCTTGCATACGATAAAACAAAATACAGGCGATATTTATCATGAAATGTATGGTAAAGCTTCACAAAAAATGGGCAAGTCGTACACATACGTGAATTAATAATACTCAAAACCTCTTTTTCTCGTTTCACATATTCAACTTTTCTTTCTTTAACGATATGTTTCTTCTCGCATACTTTGATGGCAAACTCCCTGTCAAGGCGAATGTCTGTGGCCAAAAATACAGTTGAAAAACTTCCTTCGCCCACCACCTTCCAAAACACATAATCCAATGCACTATATTTCAAATCTTGGGGAACTTTGCCATGATTCTGCTGTTGTTGCTGCTGGTGGTGGTGCTTTATTTGTTCATCCACAGGGGTGCGTTCATTTTGAAGTGGTTGTGATGGTACAGGAATCGGAGAAATAGCCGAATCTGTAGTCACTAATTCTGAAGAATTAACGGCTTCACCGTGCAAAGGAGACATTTCGAAATATTACTAAACAGTATCAGTCTCAACTTTTACCAAGTTTTGAAATTTGAAAATGTTTTGTTCCATTGATATTCACCACACAAACGATGGAATTAGTTACTGTCCACTATAACGATCACAGTCGTAGGAAGATTGTAACCAGAATATCACTAATTTACAATGGCACACCACTTTACCCGATAAAATTATAGACACCTATTAGCATGTAGACTCCAGCAGAGAATATATAAGAGCTCCAGCTTCCTTCCTGCAGCTTTTCATTGTCGTGGCAGATGTCTGAACTAAAAGCGTCACGATCGCTTTGGACTCTGCTACAAATAGTGTTGCACAACAGTTGCGTTGACACGGTTGACACTTGATCAGCTGTAATGCTGCCCTCCAATCGAGAGCTCGACAATGGTGACATTTAGCTCCCGATTGGACAGCGTCACTAACTGAAGTGACAATGAACAATGTTTGAATCGAAGTTTATTATAATAATATTTTTTTTCTTCACAGTTTTTACTGATCGGTATGTCAACCACTCTCAAGAATGATGACCAAGTGTACAGTTGCTTTATTGAAAATTCAGGTGGCTTCTAACAATATGGCATGTATTTATTCAAGATGAGTGACTTCTGCATATTGTATATATTTCTGGCATCAAAGTGAAGTCACTCTAGTGTTCAAAGTGTCATTTGCGAGATCACTCCTGTGTCTGATATTTTTATAGGAACAGTTGACACTTTGCTGAAGTTTTGCCGATATGTTGTGGGTCTTGGGTATTGACACATCGATAAGGAAAACCTGCTGATGATTTCGATCGATGTAAGTTATATTATACGCGCACGTTTTCTTGATCCCCGGAATACGTACCCCCACTCCTTTCCCCACATTAGTTGAATGAAGAATAAAATAAGCAACGAGCGTTGTAGACGAAATATGATAACCAGAAATGTTCGCTCCCGTGTAATAGAAAATACCTTGTATCGAAAAACAACCTACAAATTTGATACAAAATTCCGTTCGTCAAAATAAACATAACTCCTCGCGCAACTAGCGAAGCGAGGGCTCAAGAAAATGTGCGCGGTTAATATCGGGATTATTGCCGCCGACTTGTCTGTCAGTGATAGTGGAGCGATCCCAATAGAGAAAGCACTCACTACTTTCAAGCATGTTCTGAGGCATTTATAATAAGGCACGGAAGTAACGAGTAAGCCCGTTTTCGTTACTGATAATTGGTGGAACTGCTTCGCCAATTCATCACATGTTGCATAGTTTCGCTTGCGGCCTCACATCTTCTACATGAGTCGGAATGGATGGCCGAATTTCTCAGAATGTGTTTTCTATAGTTCAAAGTTGCCACCACTTAGTCCTGGTTAGTTATCATGATTCATGTAGGCTTCTGTCTCCGGAAAGAGATTCCCATGGAGCTATGCGTGCGACGCAAAAATTACTTCTGGTTTACTCAGATCATGGGGGTATATAGAGGTAGTAAGTACCTTCTGTGCAGTGCCTTCGCATTCCATGAGGTTATCTTCTCTTCAGTTTCAGTGATTGGCTGAACAGGCGGATCAATCTTTTAGAAGTTCAGAGAATTATAGTTATCAATTGCGCTCACTGCTTACTGCACTCTCCCACAATATTCCAAGAAGTATCTTCTGAGTGATGAAATTTGAGGGCTGTGTAGATTTATGAGATCTACAACACCTTACCCTCCCTGTGATCTTGGAAGGGTAAAACGCTCAATACTTCAATGGGGATGATGTTTTCGGCGTTGAGTCATAGCCGTTCGAATTGTCCTCTGGAGGTTGTCGAGGTCGGTATTGCTCCATTTAATAACGCCAAAGGAGTATGTCAACACTGGAATATCAAATGAATTGATGGCCTGCACAAATTTTGTAGCAGAGAGTTGAGTTCTTAAGAGTCCATGCAATAGTTTACACACCTCAGTTGATCGTATGTTCTTAGTGGCAGTGTGTTTGATTCGGAGTGACTGTTAGAAACCCAAGTATTTGCAAGCTTCATGGGGCTCCATTAAGGTAATATTTGGTTCATTATCATTTTCCAAATGTATAACTTTCATATGACTCCGAATTATATTCATTCTCCTACATCGAATTTGATCTTGATGTCGTCAGTGAACTTCTCCGTCACGCTTATTAGTTGCCGCATTATTAATATTATTATTATTATTATTATTATTATTATTATTATTATTATTATTATTATTATTATTAGAATCTTTCAGGAAGGGGAAATCTTTTATAGGCTTTTACTGGCTGATGCCTGTTATGTCGGACTTCCTAATAAAATTAACCAATAAATAAACCTAAAACCTAACCTCCTTTTCTTCAGAGCCTTGATTCCTCCCACGTGGAAATCGTCGTGAGATTACTTTGCGTGGGGGATTGGCTGGTTGCTGGTTCTTACATTCTACTTTATATCCTGCCTTTTCTTTAAGGATGTTCATCACCATTCTTACAATTGTGGTCCAGTTCATATTAGTCTGCTAACATTAAGGCTACTATGTTATTCTGTATCATTACTTGCTGTGCTTTCACTTCAGCTGCTTCCCTTTCCACGACAGCCGGGGACCTACTCTCTCTCTACCATCGGTTCCGATACCCTGCACCGCAAAAGTTTATCCTGAAGGACCTTCCAGCTTGGGTTTTTTCTTCGGGGTTGCCTAACCCTTCCCGAAGGGAATGGACGGGAAAAGAGGGGAAAATAGAATAGAGGAGTAAAATAGAAACGACTCCCTAGCCCTCGCAACTTAATAGCGCCGGGGTCGGAAACACAAGAGTTGACCGATACGAAGATTGGCCAACAGGACAGAAAACAGAAGTGTGCCACAAGTAAGTGGAAGCAATTACACACCAAGTTAATGGGAATGAGGACGTTTAAAGGAGTGACAGCGGGCAGCTGTTTCGCCTTCTTCGACAGACTTCTTTTTCTCTTCTTCTTGATTTCTCTCTCCACTTCTGTGTATGAAAATGCTTATTATGTGATTGTTTCTTTGTTCTGTCATGCGTTTAATGGGCTTTCATGTTCTTTTTCATAAAAAAAAATTGACAAAGTGGACTCCCGTGTCCCTCTTCGCAATGTAGTGGATATACAGCTATTTTCTGGGCCGTAATTCGATGTAAAAGTCTTTTCCTGCTTCTTGTACTGTCATCTCGCCTTCCTTTAGCCAAAAGCTCTTTTTGTTTTCTTTTATCAGTTTCTTATATTGTCTCCGATCAATTGCGAATTCTTCAAGTTTTTATTTGTCCTCAGGGTTCTGATTCACCTCATGCAGAGACTTGTTTCCTTTTCTTGTAAAATTCGTTAGCGAAACAAATTTTCGCTTGCTTTTACTTATGGTCTTATTTGGGTCTCCCTTTTCACTGGTTCTTTCTATTTCTTGCACATTGTCCTTTTTTTAAATTTCCTCCTTGCTAATTTTTCTGGTTAATTTGTTTTTAATTTCTGGTTCTACCCATTCGCAAGTGGTTACTGATTAAACTCTTAAAACTAAATCAAAAAAGGAAAGAGATCTGGCCGGGATTCTTTGCAGCAGACGAAATGATAGACCGGAATTGGACAGCAGCCAACTTCGAAAAAAGAGTTTTCACCAAATTGCAAGTACACTGATACCACCACCTCCAATGCAATAACAAAGTGTATCACGAACCAAACTGAAGTTTATGCGAACTATGTGGACATAAATGCGAACGATATCACATAGAAAAGTGTAAAAATCGTATTAAATCAACTTTCGAATACGCAAAGACAAATAAAAAAACAACACAATGTTAAACAGATATTGCAACAAAAATATGGGCGCTGGTGTGCTTAAAAAAAATGTTTCTATGGATGCAGCGCGTCTCCAAGCCTCTTGAGGGGCGTTGAGAGTCTTGTGCTTGAGAGTAATCCTCCATTAACTAGTGCGCTTTAGGAATGAATAACCCTGCATTAATAAATAGTAATAATTGTAATAACTGTCTTTATATGTCACATTTCGTCGCAGTCAGTTGTCAAGAGCACTGGCAGGTAGCACCTCTGCGTACGCCCTTCCTACTATGCGCTCTTGCATCACTACCCAGCGGCCAGAATTGGGAAGGAATTAGGATAGGGGTAGGGTTTAGCACACTTCACAGTGGTTGAACTAGCCCCTGTGAAATAGTCAAACTCATTTTGTTGGTACAAATTACAAATGAGATTGTCCAGGAATCGAAACTTGGTGAGAGGCAAACGACTTCGCTCGTGAGCCACGAGATAACTCAGACAAAAGAGAGGCAAACGTGTCAGAAGAGGGAACTTGTGATGCTACAGAATGGCACAAACTTTCTCATATTAGTTTTCTATTTCTTTTGGTCTCGGTTAGCTATTCGAACTTGTCACTTATTCTTGCCTGCTGACATCTATCGCCGCCCAAAGCACATTTTTTGCATTTCCTTAATTTTTTGGTTTCTTAACTGTAGAGGGGAACAATTATTTTAAGATTAATAAAGAACAGTAAAACCTGATCCTAAATGGCAATTTTCTTTGAAAAATTTGGAAAAATGTTTAAAAAGCGGTGTTTGAGCGTTACTGTAAGTTGCAAATTTAAAGTTCTTTATAACATAAAATTTTTGAGGTTTCGTAACACTTAATTTGAAGTCATTTTAAGTACTTTAACCCACAAATACAATAGTGTTTACAAATTGCTGGAAATTTGCATATCAGCGACGATACTCTTGCCGTAATTTGATTTACAATCGCAAAGTGTACAAGGGCCCTACGTACTTCGTGCGTACGACATACTTTAGACGCTGATAGATTGTCATATTTTTTATATATCTAAAATTTCTTTGCATTTAGTATGCTGCCAACTAAGGATTAACAATAACCAACTTTCGAAATTGAAATTTGAATTAAATAATAACGATATTATCTTAATTTATTTACATAGTTAGTAATATAAATAAGTTTTTAGTACATTACTAATGATCATGCTTCAATCAGGAGAATACTTGCATTTTACAAAACTTTTTGTCTTTTGAAATTTAAGATATAACATATTATAAACAGATCATCAGAAATAATTTTTAAAACGTTAAATATTACAAATTTAATAACGAGAATAAATTTTCTGTGCTGCGCTTATTTTTCTTCAATTACGCTATCGATCAATGCTTACTCTTTGGTTGATGACCCGCCGAGCACATGGCGTTTTGGTATGTGAGTTCGGGGATTGTAGGAAGGTCCGTGATGGGCTGCTTGTGTTGGTAGCTGTAGTCTGTGTATGTGCGCTGGCATTGAGGGGCAAGTCGCAACGTGACTTCAAACAAAGGAAAGGACATCGGTGACCTAAGAAACAACGACAAGACGTGCAGTTACTGGCGCTATTTTGAAGAATTGTGTGCGGTTTTTGACAGATTTGATTCTTTATTACAGTGTTGCTCGAAATGGATCAAGATATAAACTTTGCTGCACAGTGTTTGTTAGCGATGTCACATTCAAGGGATTACAACTGGTCTCAAACACCTTTAGATCTTTCTCACAGATCTCCAAGCACTTCTCGCGAAAGGGGCTATAATTGCCCAGTGTTATTGCATTCTTCTGTTTCAATGGAAGGAACAAAGGGAACGGGAGCGCCAGTCTGTATTGACGACAGTAATTCCACTACGTCAAGCGAATCTTCCCTCTACATGGTTGCACGCATATTAACTGATCTTACACGTATTAAGCAAGAACCAGTGCCTAATGTGCCGCCAGTGCAAGAAGATCAGATTGAAGAAGTTGATGACAGTGGTGAGCTTATGATTGATGAAAATTGTGAGAACATAGTTGACATGGACCTCAGTGAGAAGTACGAACAACTTTCGGAAAACGCACCTGCGTCCTCCGGACGAAAAAATTTGTCTTCCTATAGACCTAGATCTATTGCCCGTAAAACTCACAAATGTGTCTTTCATGGTTGTGATAAAGTTTATGGGAAAAGCTCTCATCTGAAAGCACATCTCCGAACTCACACAGGTTGGTAATTTTGATAAAAGTACTTGTAAAATTTTAGTATGGTTATTATATTCCTTACAACTATTTTATAATTTGTGTCATATATGAACACTGCATAATTAATACTCATTAGATCTATTAAGTTTATGAAAATGGTTTCATTTCTTAAAATTCATTTAACTTAAAAGTTTTGATAAATATAGTCACGTTTCAAAAGTGTAAGACGCCTGTACTTAAGCATAAGTTTTGCATTTATATTGCTTCTGATAATTGCCATGTAGATTTCTGATTTCTTTTCGGATAATTCAGAATTATTATTACTCATTTAATGTTTGATCTATTTTGTGTCACATAATATTCATTATACCTAAATTTCAAATATTATTTAGTCTTTACTTTTACATCACATTGCACCATATTGCTATTCTGTTCTGATGACTTAAAGAGTCCATAAAAAGTATGTGGCCAAATGGAACTTTTTTCAACCTCGCCCCTTCTAACAGCTTGTAACAATGCTCTCTCCCCTTGAGATGAATGTTCAATTCTGGATCCCCCCTGACACACACACACATTCAATTCCTAAGTTAAATAAAAGTGACATTGATGCTTTTATTTAGATATCAAATGTTCATTGTCTTCACATTTTTCTTGTAAATTGTGTGTGTGGTGGTATCCAGAAAACTGTCAGTTACACTAAAAAAATATTATACCTACATGTCTTGAGAAATAACATTGGCATTTCAAAAGATAATTCTTATGTATTACTCTTACATTACCTTATGAAGAAACCTTTTCTTAATTCTTTTTTGTGCTAAGGGCTGCTATTGATTTAGTTTAATTGTAACTTGTGATAGTTCATATCAGTAGAAAATCAGGCTTTTATAGTCCAAGTTAATTTTATGGAAAATAAAAATCATTAGTAAAGTTTTGTTAAATCAAAACTGTTTTCCATCGAATGAACTTTCTGTGTTTCATAAATGGTTGAAATAATGTTGATTATTTTTTTCATAATGAGATATTAGTGACATAGAGTGAGAAACTGTGTATTCATATCTTTCAAGATGTAAAGTTTACATGCCTACACAGAACACCCTCTACTCTTAATTTTTGTGGCTTTTCAGGTGAACGTCCATTTCCATGTGGTTGGCAAGGTTGTGGAAAGCGCTTTGCACGTTCAGATGAGCTGGCTCGTCATACACGGACTCATACAGGCGAGAAGAATTTTACTTGTCCAGTTTGTAAGAAGAAATTTATGCGAAGTGACCATCTAAGGTATTTTTATTTGTTTATTTTTTGTTAATTTACTTGTTATAACTTCATGTACAGTTTGGCTAATTTCTTTTTTGTTAATGGGTAGTGTTTATTTTTTTAAATTAATTTATTTTAGATCATTTAAGTTTCCCTGTCATATGTATTGGTTGGGGAGGAAAATACTTGGCAATGATGATAAAGTAAATTTTAAACACTTATTTAATGTTGTTATTGTGCATATACTATTCGTATGCAAAATGGTAGTGTTTGATGTCGTATCTTGAACATTTTGCTTGAAGGTTATCGACTAATGTTATTTTATATTTTGATTTTATTTGGGATGCACACTTGCATGATTTAAAATTGATTGTTGAATATATTAGGTCAATAGTTTCAACAAATAACTTGCAGTTGTTGCAAAGGAAATATATTCCACACGTATCTGTTATACCTAGATGTATTCGTAAACTTCTTGGTAACAACTGTGTATTTATCAGGCATTCTAATCCAATACTTTGGAATGGCCCAGTAAAAAGAGGACCCCAGACAAATTGCGTAGCAGTAAGTTAAACACCTTTTGAAAAAAGAATTAAAATCAGTGTTTAGATTTTGTTCTACAGATCAACAGAGATGCCACACAGGCTCTTTGATCAGCAGGCAAGTGCAGATTTGCATTTTGCAAGAGATGGTAATGAAAAAATTCACTACGATAGAAGTATGCAATCTGCATCCAGTCACAGAGACAGAATGATAAAAAAAATTCTTTGCAAAAATTGTCCAAATTTGGAAACTTGTTGCTCTATCCTACATAACCCATGAAATAGGGATGTAAAATATCCCAGTTCCCGACTGTCAGACAAAAATTAAATGATGAAAATATCTTATATGTTAGGTAAATATTTACATACAATTAGTATTTCTGCAGGTAGGTTTGTGCTATCTATGCCTGAACACTACAATTTATTCAATCAATTCAATTAAGGATATTAATACAATATAACTCTCAATTAATTAAAAATAATAATAATATCAATTATTATTATTATTGATAGGCGATATACCAGAAGACTAAAAAATGGCTTATATAACACTAATATATAAGAGACGGATGGAAAGACCTGTGGGAAAATCATGTAGGGATTACGTATATACCCTGTTTAGTCAGTCCCAGGCGATGTAAAATAAATGGCAAACAGGGAGAGAACTTCATATGATCTTTCTTGATGCAAAGGCCTATGAATGTGTGCCAGCCATAAAGTTATGGGGAGTTATGAATAAAAGTAATGTAAATAGAAACTTACTAAATGCAGTAAAGGAATTGTATATAGATGAAAAGGGAAAAGTTAGAAAACAGATAACCCTAACATTTCATATTCCAAAAGGACAATGACGAGGATGCTGTTTGTCACCTACCCTCTTTGAAAATACATGTTAATGCAAAAGTTACAAGTGTGGGAAGGATATGTGCTGGGATGAGAATATAATTTGATGACAATATGACACTCTATACCCTACCGTGATGGTGAGGTGCTGATTGGTGCAAGAACAATCAAAGATATTGAATATACAACTGGGAAGATAAAAGATGATTTTGAGAAATGGGGACTGAGTCTCAACGTAGAAAAAACAGTATAGTGGACTCTAGGCAGTACACGTGACATATTGACTATAGAAACTGGAGAAGTAATAATAACGGAGGACATAAAGTACTTCGAACAACAATAGGGAAATAGGGTTATTATGGAAAGGAATGTGAAACCAGACTTGTTAAAGTAAAATATAAGCAAGAAAATGAAAATTAGAATGTATAAATGTATGATTCAAAGTGTTACAGTGTATGGCACAGAAATATGGCCACATCCTGAGCAACAGAAAAGAAAATTGAGAGCCCTGGAAATGGTTTTCTCAGAAGAGCTGCAGCAATATCTAGATATTGCAGCTCAAGGGAAAGAATTAGAAACAAACAGGTTAAGGAAATAATAAATCTGCGACATGATATTTAGGAAATTGGAAAGAAAGAACTTATTTTATTTGGACAATTCAGCGACAGTTAGACATGTCAGACATCAGCGAATAGACGAGAAAAGACTCCCCCCAAAAATCATTAGAATGGCAAACAAGTGAAAGGAAAAAATGAGGAAGACCAAGACAGGAACGACCAGATTAGAATACGTGGAAGAACAGAGAAAAAAAATTAGGCGCCGGAAGACAGAAGTAGCAATTATGAAAATGCCAAGAAGAAGTTAAAGGCAATAATAATATTAACTCCACATCTTATAATTATCCTATAGAGATATTTGAAACAAATTAATACGTGACTTTTTACTATGCTGCACTCCACTTCTCAACACACCGCCGCACTTCAATAGAAACACAAATTAAAAATGATTATATTGTGTATTTAATAAAGCAATGCATTTTAATAGCAATATTGGTCATCATAATAATAATAACAATAATAATAATAAATAACTTTTAATGAGTTCAACTTACTCATTAATAAAGTTGACAAGTATCATTAATTAATTTACTTTAAAATTTTTGAACACGTAGAAGAAAGGCTTGAAAGACTGTCTCAGGCATCCTGTCCCAGTCCTTTTATTGTTGTGTATGTAAAGGACCAATTTCCAACATCAGTTCTTTGTGTCCTGAACTGAATTTTAGGCTTCTGATCCCCCCTATGTGGGTCTACCAAGTTAGATCTCTTTCCAAACTGTATAACCAGCATATGCTTTACATAGGACTTCGACCATCCTAATTTCTCGGGATTCACATTCTATTTTCTTCATATTGCACCAGAAAATAAGTTTACAAACTGTTAATTAATAATTGTATATGGTGGTTGGTGTAGTATATATCTGAAATCTGCGACAAAACGCAAAATGCTATCTGTGAAATAATTGCTTAATTGTATTTTATGGTTTCCTTCGTGTGGGTTCTCAAACTGGGGATGTGACATCAACCATATATCGATGTTTGAAAACATTTAATTTGGGGATGCTTTTGTTTATTTTGCATTATGTAATTTGTTTATTGATTTATAGTTAATATTTAACTGACAAAACGAAGTAAAAAAAAATTAAAACAATTAAAAAACTGATTCTGAAAGCCTGGGCGCTTATGGTCATCTCAAGGGATCTCAGCTTCCTCAGTTCGCTATACAGAGAAGGTCAAGGAAAGAAAAGGAAGGACCTAAGTCATTGGTGCACACGTTACGTATGCTATTATGTTTGTTGAAGTTCACAGATGGGGAAATGTTAAATTAGTTTCCCATATTTTCTGATTTTAATGGGAAAATGTAAAAAGTGTCATAATACTTTTTATATCCTGTATTGAGAGACTTCCGTTAATATTAATTTTTTCAAAAAGTTACTTTTACAAATAGTGTGAAGAAAAACTGTCAAAATCATTCTTAAATATCAACATTTTGCTTTATTGAATGTGAAATAAACAAACAGTCCTCTTATCCTATAGATATTCAATTTTGTGCATTGATGAATGCAGTCAGATATCATTCGTTATTTCCTGGTGGCCTGCAGCTAAACTGTCACACATTGAAATACTCTGTAAATCATTGAATCTGTGATGTAGTGGTAGGTTAAAAAAGTAAATAAAAGTGATTTTAAAAAAATAGGTTAAGGTCTATGGTACTGATTTTCAAAGGAAGCTAGCACAAAAGTTTTATTGATATGGGTTCATTACATTCAGAGATTATTGCCCATATCTCTTTATATATTAGTGTAGATTCAGAGTAGTCTTAAGTTCAGGTAAATACAGTATTATAAGATGGCTTTTCACCCTTATTCACTTGCTTTCAGAATATCCTTAGTTAGGCAGCGTACAGTAACTGGTTTTATGCTTCTCTCACTAGGTGTGCAATAGTTAAGTAACTTAACATACAGGGTTTTGTGTCCTCCTATTTCCACAGCAAAAACTTACGTTCTTAGTGTAAAATAACAATTACGTAATTTTTATTTGATTGCAAATTATTAAAAATTATTTATTAAAATTATTAAAAATTATTATTAAAAATGCATTTTATTATTTGTATTATGTAAGGTAAATGTAAGAAAAGAATATTTTCATTTGTTTAAAGAAATAGTGAAATATCCCCAAGTAAACATTTTTTCATACACTGATTTTTATTTTATTATTTTACCTCATTATTTTCTGTGGCGTGATATAATAACTTGAGGTAGTATGTTCATTGACACTTAATTTTGAAGACTTGCATTCTGTTCAAGAAATGTTTCTTACTTACTTACGTCAGAAGGCTTAAAAAAAATTTGGCCCGAAATATATGTATGAAGATTGACAAAGATGGCCAATACTGGGGGAAGGAGATAGTAAACAGTAGAGAAAGTTTTGTTGATCAACTCACTCAAAATGAAGTTCTGAAGAAACTGTAACAAATATCAACAATCTGTAGTCTTCCAGGAAGATTTTTTCTTTTTCTTTTTTTTCTTCAGAAGATACCAGACTATGCCTCAAATATTGAAGGCATTTTGGAATATAGTTGTCAATGTGAGAGTTTCTTTCAGCCTTCATTGAAAAGTCGTAAGAATAATCTGTGTCTGATATGAAAACTACTATATCTAGGCAATAGGCTGGGTAGAGGTAAGAGATTCAAATTGATAGAATTTGAATGTTTTCAATGGTAACTGCAGGGAACTGTGTTGCCTCTGGAGGAGGGGTGACCCAATGAAGTGAACTGACAATAGCAGAGGTCAACACATTTACAATGATTTCTTGTCAGAAGGCATTACTTGTTTTTACTGTAGTGGAACTATGTACATTTTTTCACAAGCATGAACATTTATTTTCTGTTCATTATCATAGGCATTACCCATGGATTTCATAAGATACGTTTAATTGGCTCTTATAGCAAACTTAAAAGTGACCCTTAATAGAAAGGTAATGTTTTAGTATTATCTATTTTATTCTGCAAACATCAGACTGTAAGACCCTTCAACTGAAAGTAGTAATGTGTGGTTGTACACAAATGAAATTGATGCATATTAAAGCATTTTGTGATAGAAAATGTTTTGTAGTTGTGATGGATTGAATTAGAGTGAGAGGTTCATGTTATAATTTAAGAGTTAATTTAAGTACTGTGATTTTGTGGTAGAGTCTGTCGTTGTGATTAAATACATTACGTATGATTTCCAGCAAACATGCTCGTCGGCATCCTGACTTTGATCCCACAAGTCTCAGACAGCGAAGGACTCCAAACAAGGCCGGCTCTGTGAATTCCAGTGAAGGAACACCATCAGAAGTTCTATCAGACTCGGTTCCATCTCCTTAACTAATATTTTGGAAGTAAATTTTATGAGCTTGCCACATAAGATCTGTTACTCTTTTCATGGGAGTAAGTTAAATAATTCTGTTTGGTAGTGAAAAATATCTTGTCACAATGATGAACTAATTTTATCATTTTTTTATTCAGATGTTTCTGAGTACAAGAAACAGGTCTGTTTTGTAGATCGCATATACTGGTGTAGATATAGACTGTTTATCATAATCACACTTGTGTATGCAAACAAGAATTCTTTGTACACATTTGTTGTACTGTAAACTGCTGATATTAAATAGATCTTGCTCTTCTGCTAATAATAAGAGATTCTAAAACACAGTACAAGTTAATAAATACATAAATGCAACTTTTGAATAAATAGTAGATATTCTGACGTAGGGTTGGCAAACCTGTGAGTAAAGTGATCTTATTCATAGGATTCTCCTTCAATAACTATATTGTCCAACATATTGTAGCAGATAAATGTTTTTGAGGAGTATTTTGGCTGTGTTTACATTCCACTGGACAATTACTAATGGACACCAGTTTCAGCTCCACTAGTTGACATAATTTGGAACATTTGTTTTTTTGTGTGGAAGATCCTTTTATGCTTTCATATTTTATCTCATGGTTAAATTTTAATGGTAATATGTATAGGACCTTTATTTCACATTCCGTATATATTTAAAGAGCAATGTAGCAAGAAACTATGCTCAAAGGAATTTTGTGAAACTACATTCTTTTTATTAGAATTTTTCTGTAGTAAGTTTGTAGAAAGTTTTATTATCTTTCATCAGTACTTCTAGCATATTGTAAAAAGCTATATTTAGTTCAATTCTCACTGTTCACTTTCATGTCATTTTTTTCTCTTGTACTTATGATACTGGTGTAATGGATGATTTTTTGAGAAATTTATTTTGACTCCACACAAGATATGAAAACTGTAATTCATTCAATTTTTGGTTTTAGATTTGTTAAGTATAATTTTATTTTATAGATGCCATAATATTTTTGACCCAATAGTCATGATTTTCAGCTGTAATCAGAAATAAGTCATGTAGTTAATAAACTGCCAGTTGTTTCTTCATTTGTTTATTTGGGCTTTGTTTCTTTTGTAGATCTGTGAATCAGACTGGTCTGATGAAAAATACTAACAAGTTGGTTGCTACGCCTAGGTAGTTCAAAAATAATTTAATCACAAAAAATTTCACTTCATTGTAAAGGTAATAAATCAACTTCCAATAAATAGATCAGAGAAGACATCAAAAGTAGTTGTGTAAAAAAGTGAATTCTATATAGGTATCATGAAATAGGTGCAATTAACAGTCAATTTTTGTAATGGAAGGTCTGAAGAATTTTAGGTTGCGGGCCTCTGGCCAGCTGGTATAATTATGTTAACTGAATGTCTTTATTGAATGTAAGTTTTCTTTGTACTTTTATTGCCTCATTATTAACAAGGTTGTTCTAAACATGTAATCTTATCAGAATTATGGAAATTATTTTAATTCAGCCTCTCTGTATTTGTTTCATAATTTTACACCAAGTTGTGCAATTTGGTAGTTAAGTACTACGATTTAAACAGGGTATAGAAATTTACAGGCATTTTAGCATTGAAAGTATAGTTGTTACTTTCCATTTAACTTTATAACATCAGCATTAATATTCATGTTCAACTAACAAATCTCTTGTAGAGCCATTTGAAGGAAGGGGCTGTCATGTGTTCTTTATTTGTGGTTTGAAAGTAGTGATGCACATTGAACTATATACTGATATGTGTAGTAATATTAGAATTTTACTAAAGTCTCTGATATAGGTATTTTTATAATACCACGTGAAGAATCACAGTGAATCTCTCAAGATGTTGAAATTGTGCTGTTGAAGGGTAAATGCAGAGTTATGTTGTTATGAACAGTGTACTAATGAGGATATGTGTTTTCAGCATGTTGAAGATGTGTGTGCCAATTAATATTGAATTTCTGGTGTCATTCAGTTACTGAATATTGTAAAGCATATTATTACAGAAAATGAGATTGTGTGTTTGTTCATTATATTGTATTTTAGAATTTTTCTTGCTTGTACTGGCTTGAGATATAGTCAATAGTGTTAACTGGCCTGGCGATGCTATAAATTGTTTACATTTCTGCATAAGAAAATGCGTGTTTTCTGGTAGTTATGTTACTTAATAAATTACATTTTGAGAAAGTCATTGTTTTAATTCAAATTCAAATATTCTACTCGTGTTCTTTCATCATTAAACTCATTTAGTGCTTTGTTAATTTGCTGTCTTGGTTTACTTTCATGTTTTGAATTATATTTTGGTGCAGATTTTATTATTTACTTTTTAGTGTGTTCTTATATTCAGGGGTATTTGAATGGCAACTTGTAATTAGTCTATTGAGTATAATTATAACATAATTTTATAATTAGCACAAATTGACTACATATTGTAAAGAAATGTTATTTTCAAAAAAAGAACAAAAAAATTGAGGCAGCTTTTTTTTTATTCTTAAGTTTCATTCTCGAGAGTTATGAATGAGTGAATGGATTTTTATAATAATATATCTTTTGTGAAGTGTAAGATTTCTCTGCTTGGGAGAGCTCATGTTCTGAAAATGTGTCTATAAGAAGTGTAGGATGTAATTGTGAAAATGATGTGATTATGTGATGAACATGTATGTTTTAGCCTTTCATAAACTGCATTTCAAAATGTACATTCTTGAAATTAGATGTGTGAGAGGTGAAAAAGATGTGCAATTGACACAGAGCAGAAAAAGGAAGTGATTGTTTATATGCATGTGCAATTACATATCGGTACAAATACATTTTAAGTTGAAATGTATTGTCCTCCTGATGTGTTAGTTTCACTGCCATTGTAAAGTGTTAGTTGAGTGTTATTGTGTAGTTGAGAGTGATTCGATGTTGTAAACTACTATTTTTTAGCTTTATTTACTTTTCTATTTCCCTTGTCTCCCCTCTCCCTGATGTTCTCAATAATATTAGATGAAGGTTTTCCACTTTCTTTCTAAAGGAAGATTTGAACAATTGTATTTGGTGCTAAATTGTGGAATTCTTCCAATGAAAAACAAATATTTTTTTTACTGGAAGAAAAAAAATCATCACTGTTAAAGTTAGAATTAGAAACTTGAATTGTCATGCTGTGTTACTTCGATAATTTTTATGCTATTAAATACTTAAAAAATCTGAAAATGTTTTATACAGTACTACATCCCCCTGTAATTATGAATGAGTATTGTGTAAGTAAAATTTAGGTATTTAATTCATTGGAAATTGCTACAACAAGATTTGAATTCGTGTTTTGCAATTTCATTTCATAAATTTGATATGAACATTTAGTGTATTAATTACAATAAACAAACTTCAGGGCCTGGCCTAAAATTTTATTAATATGTAATTATATACATATTACAGTGAAAATTTGATTACATTTTGGATTTTTGTCTTTGAGAACCATGGATTTAGTGACTAAATCTAAATATCTTTGTGTTATACTTTGTTTATGTATTGAATTATTTTTATACTTTTAATTGGTTTTGAAACAATCCATGTGATGTTTATTTTCAAGTTAAATTGTAACAGGTGAATTAGTTAGTTTTTGTTAATATGACATCTTGTGTGAATATGGCTCTATGAAATCTGATGTAGTGAAACTGATGCCCAATATTCACCTCAAAATTGTGAAATGTGAATCTCATGTCATCGTATGTTAAATGTAAATTTTTCTGTAATAATATGCTTCTCTGAGAGGAGATAAGAAAACTATCCATGCATTTTGTTTCTCTATGCAATGGTTAAGGCAGTTTTCTTCTTAATTTGTTGTGATACATTTTGGTCATTTTACAAAGGATGTGGCTTAGTCTGCCTTGGTTGTATCAAGTGTAAGACTGACAGACAAAATATATTGTTAACAATCACAATTGTTTTTTATTTCATTCCCAACATAAGTGAACAAGCTGAGAAAATAATCAGGGTAATTAGTATGCTATTTACATAAGAATCGGGTCTGGAAAATATTCTCTTAGGATTTTTATTTCTCATTGGCTGGAAAAGTAGTTTACGTTCTATGTCAAGTTTTAAGCGCTATAAGGCATATGGCATACCAGGACAGTGATAGTTCTGGAAAATTGTCAGAGAACTTTCTTTTGCTGGAAAAATCAACGACTTTTTATTTCCATGGAAATAATATTTTCGATGTGACAAAAATAAGAAATTGTTATCATTTAAACGGGGAATGTCATAGGGGAAATGTTACTATGTGCTTGGACGGCCCTTAGAATGTATTCTCAATGGGCTATTTGTTCTACAACTGTGAACATTCTAAAAAAATAGTAATAACTATTTTGAAATGATTTGAAATGTAGTATTGAAGAATAGATTGCTTTAAGAAAGAAAATTAGCACAATTATTAAATACATATGCCAGGTTCAATAGAACGAATTCAAAGAAACATTTAAAGCAAAAATTCTAGTAATTTTTGAGAAAGTCTTGCTTACTTATTCGTGGAAAATTATCAGGACTTAACACTAAATTATGTGAAAACTGATACATTTTACTTTACTATAGTTTTGGAAGGAAGACTTTTGGAATCACCTCAACAACATAATCTTAAATTTTGTCATAGAATCTGTATTCAAGATTCTTTGGCACTGAACTGGCATCAGGATTAAGGTTAGTTTCTGTGCCAAAGAACATAAAGATTGGAGTAAGTGGTTAGGAGGTACAAGAATTTTGTATTCGAAAACTGGGATGTTTGGGTGAGTGGATGTACAAGCATTAAAGTATGTTTCACGAATAACTGACAGTTAAGAAGCTTACAAACTGAAATTTGGTAAACATATTAGGAGAAAGATCTCACTGAGCCTTCCTGGATAATCCACAAATTTTCATTTTTGGAAATAATTTACATAATGCCATTGTGTTTTAAAAATTTTCTGCAAAATAGCTGCAATATTGTTCTTTAGATTTTGGTATGAAAAGAAGCGAGTGCATTTATAAATTCGACATAGGTCCAATTTTCAGTAGAACCTAAGTATTTTGAAAATTCCAAAACTCTAAACTATTTTGAACCTGTTCTCCCCCTGTAATACCAAAGACAGACATTTCATTCTCAAGTGCAATTTATCTCTCTGTTGTAGGTTTTGAAATGATATGCGCACACTGGGGTTGGGCGATTATTGAAAAATAATCGATTCCTTGTTAATCAATTAATGTTTTCTTTCAATTAGTTGGCATCGATTAATTGTCCTAAAATAATCGAATAATTTTTGTATTATTATCAGGAAATGCAAAACAAACCTTTAATTAATTCTTTTTAATTTATAGTTACTGTGTAAAAACTATTTGAAATAAATTGGAACAATACCAACATTAAACAACTGTTAACACTACAAAAAATATCACTTCTTATTTCTTAAAACATTTTTCTTAATAATAACATTAAAATTTTTTTTGCATTATACTATTTATTATACAAGGTGAATTTTTTATCTCGAGACACTGAAGTATGAAACAAAAATGCATATTGTACGAAGATAAGAAAGATACATGAATATATGCTCCATAGAGATTATTTTGTCATATTACACTCCAAAACTCACTCCATATAGAATATTTTGTCATATTACACTATAAGCATTTCATTAGTATTGATTTTATATATTATATAATGAGCAAAACAAATTTAAAAAACTAAGTATATACACATTAATTTCACTGTTACATATATCCATTGCTATGCACATTGTAACTGAAAGGGGTATTAAGTTGGGGTCAAATGTAGCGTAAAAATAAGTTTTTAAATAGAGAAAAGGTGATGAAATATAAAAAAAAATATTTATTTAAATACAACGAATATTTTTATTCTATACGAATATCTCAAAACTATAAATTATTCCAATCAGTACTTATTGCTAAATATAAAAACAATTTCACAAGAATTTGTGAAAAAACTATTTCGCGGTCCACAATTTAGAACTTATAGAAGCGAAAACAGCAGCTCAGAGAAATGCTCAGGCGTGAGTCGACCCGTCAAGAAGCTTACTACGTTTTGCTTCTTAAAATAGTCTTTAACTAGGGACTGAGGTGGCTGTGACGGGCAAATACTTAATGGGTTGTTTGTAATCATTTGGGAATTCTGACTTCTTTGATTCCCTAGCCTGGAATGGGTTTATGTCCTTAAATAATATTGGTCTGTTTAAATATTGGCGCAATTCCGTGTGCGCGCCACCATCGTATTCTTCTAACTGTTCTTGCTGCTGTGACTTCATGAACTTGTCATGTAGATTCCAAAGACTATTAGCAGAGACTTCATATGGTTTTGCTTGTGGTATTAGAGGACTTGAGGTTGCAGCTTTCTCCAAACCTTTTGTTATTTCGTTGGATATAAAATTTATGGCGCGGGAGGTTGCGAGAATGGACTGAAAATAAATTTTCTTAAATCTGGGGTCTAAAACGGTAGCGACTGCGAAAGGTGTGGTGAATTCAGCTTTCTCTAATCTTCTATCGAGTTCAACTAGTATGAATTTTTGCATTTTGCAAACAATTTGATCATTCCCCAACTCGCAATCCTTTATTCGCTGATAAAGAATAAAAAGATATAGTTTCCGCAATTTAAAGAGTTGTTAATTTACAAAGTATGTATTTTTATCTACGTCATTATTCATTTTTAAATTTTAAAAAAATATACTAAAGTATAAATGAAACTCAATAGTACACTGTTTGAAATAAAAATGAAATCGAAGTTTCCTACAAATGATAGAACACATATAAAATATTTTAATTGATAACCATATCTGATTTAACAAAAATACTATTGGTATAACTTTGCTTGCTGTCGTTTTCTCTGCGGACATTTCAGCGGTGGCCAATTGCAAAGGATGGAGAAGTTTTGCAATGGCACGCAACCTAACTACTTCAGCTCCAGTGAGCATGGTATTTTTTGGATGCTTTAACAATACGGTACCAAGAATGTCTACTAATTCTAAAAATCGGACAATCATGTAATATGCCGACGACCATCTGGTTACTACTTTTGAATGAGGTGAAGAACTGTTCCTTCAGTTTTTCCACATTGCAATTGCTTTTTCTTTATATCGTCTGAAGCCGAAACGCAGTGATTTATCAAAGAAACAATATGTTTCACTTTAGCAATTAAAGCAGGTACGCCAGGAACATATTCTTCTCCTTTGGCATTTACACCAATAGCATACTTTGGGATCAGGTTTAATGTGTGATCGAAACATGTGACTGCAGATTTGAAAGTATCTCGAGTAGCTTTTGTAATATTCCTGTACATGATTCCATTGCAAGTCCGTTTAGGAAATAAAGAGTTCCACCGAGGTAGCTTGTTGAAATGTGTTTCGGTCCACACGTCAAAAGTGGGACTCGGACTGGGTAGATTAGAAATTATTTTGCACACTACTTCTTTCAAAGCAGCATATTTCGCTTCAGTCAGTCATGTTATAGTTTTTCTACTTGGCGGAGTCCAAAGTGGGACAGCAACCTTCGAAAAATGCCTAAACCCATCTCTTTCTGATGTGTTCAAAGCCATATGATCTTTACACAACATAAATAGTAAAGCGTCATTTAACTCTGCATTGCGTGTTCCTTCTCCTGAAATATATGCTTTTAATTAGATACAGTTTGATAAAAAATTAGATTAGAAAATTAGAATAAAGATACTTAAAGAAGTACGATAGTGATAGGTACAGTTAGATGAAACATGTAAATCGATTAATTCAGTAATGACTAGTCATGGCAACGTTGCAATTGTTCTATGTCGAAAATGACGAAATTTAAATGAAGTTGTAATTTGATGTTAAGAACATAGAACATGTTGAACAGCTTGATCAGTATGGAAACTACAATATTTTTAGAACCGAAACGTGTTTCAGAAAATGTGTCCACCTTTTGCACGAAACCATATCTAAACTTAGAATATAAATGTTACCTGAGTAATTGTTATTGTTTCTACCCTGTCAGCAATGTCACGAATATGAAGGAATCATGAGGTGGTTCCAAAAATTAGTTGCATTTCCGCAAATTTTTAATTGCTTCCCACACAATTTGCACTGTACTTTTTTCTTCCACCTTGGTAAAATGCTTCCAAATTTCGCTGCTAATTTTCGGCATTTTTCTATACGTTTCGTGTTTACAAGAATAATAAAGTCTATTGACTACGAAGAATTGTTGAATTGTAAATGTTCGAAAAATTATTTGTAACCAGTAATACCAATTCACGAAGATAATCGAGGCTGCTGCCTTCTGTTGAAACCGCACAGACTTAACTTAAACACAGTTTGGTTGCGTTTTTATTTGCCTTACAGAATACTTTATATGCGCGCATAATCAATTTTCATTGGTTATTGAAAATGAAGTTCTATTAAATTGACCAGTAACAAGTAAATATGCACGTATAGAATTTTTTGTCTGGCAAACAAAAAATTCGAATATGGCTAAATTGAAACCACTATTGTTTCATTAAAAAAGCTGTAATTCCAATAATGTAATTCATTGTAAATTTTAATTTACAGTTCGATTAATTGGTTTAAAAATAATCGATTGTTTTTTCGATTAATCGTATGAAATAATCGATTTTTATACTAATCGCGATTACATCGCTCATCCCTAGCGTACACACAGAGTTGTTAAGTGATAACTAGTAACATTGAGAGAAAGAAAAGTTTCAATATGCCACACACTCCCACTAGTTTTGTATGAGTGTACAAGAAATTGTTTAATTATCTAATATGGAAGAATATATTGCATTTAGAAACATTACACTTAAAGCTAGGTATTTGAATTAATTGAAGATGTAGGATAAGTATGAAAGTAATTGCGATTGAACGTTGCAAATTTTGTAATTTCAGAGGTTACAATGAATATTAGATATCTACCATGTTTATAACTCTACCTTTCT